AACGCAAGATGATATGATCCAAGTGTATAATTGGAAGATGGAGTATAGATAGATAGATAGATTCATATAGACACAGATAAATAAACATACACACAGGGTAAACCGTAAAATCATCATACAAGTTTCCATTGATTCATGTCTGATAAATCAATTATCATTCTTTTCAACTGTATTCGAATCAGTGGATGGAGAACACGATTATGATGTGGTATACCTCGACTTTAGTAAAGCTTTCGACAGGGTCCCCCACGAAAGACTAATACATAAAGTGGAGGCTCATGGAATTGGAGATGTTCTAAACTGGATTAGGGCGTGGTTACAGGACAGGAAACAGTCAGCATAAATGGCACTAAATCCGATTGGGGTAACGTCACTAGTGGAGTACCCCAAGGCTCAGTGCTTGGACATAACTATTAATTATATACATAAACGACATAGATATAGGCGCAGATAGTAGCACAAGTAAATTTGCTGACGACACTGAAATAGGGCGTGTTATATCTGACGAGGATTCTTCAAAACTACAGGAAGATCTAAAAAACAATCGTATGGTCTGTATAATGGGGTAGGAAATTTAATGTGGACAAATGTAAAGTACTTAGCCTAGGGGATGTAAAAAGAAAAAACAGATATCAGATGAACAACGTTTATATAGAGAAATCCAACTGTGAGAAAGATTTAGGAGTAATGATAAGTAGGAGTCGTAAACCAAGACAACAATGCGTATTTGCTCGAAACAAGGATAACAAAGTATTTGGGTTAATGCAAAGGAATGTTAGTTACAGGACTGGCGAGATTATCCTAAAACAATATCTTGCGCTTGTGAGACCTCACTTGGATTATGCAGTTCAATTTTGGTCATCGTACTATGGAAAGGATATCGAATCCCTAGAAAGCATACAGAGAAAGATGGCAAGACTCATCCCGGGCATTAGGAATCCGCTTGTCTCTAAAGCCAGACACATGCAAATGTTTTTTGTTGACTGGGGTATCTGGATCAAGCTGTTGTGGATCCCCTCTCACATAGGCGTCAGTGAGCATGATACAGAGTTGATGCCTTAGCTGAGCTCGCGTCCAACATTGACAAAATTCAGTATAATCTAGGACTGTCAAACAGAACTTTAAAAACTGTAATCAGAATAGAGCTTGCTGATGAATTTGGGATTGGGTGTAATCGGGACTGCCAAGTATGGGCCCGCTGCTGTTTCCTCCATTCTTATGTTCTTTGGTCCAAAAGGTAGATAATACTAGTAACGGGTCCCGCAGTCACACAGTACTCACGCAGTGCTCAGTCACAGGTCCAGCAGTCACATAGTTCTCAGACATTACTCAATAAGACCACCAGTCACAAAGTACTCAATCAGTCAAATAGTATGGAGGGCTGACAAGCTCTTATTGCGTTAAAACATCAGCTGGTGAAGCACTCAAGACACCGTCAATTATTATTATTATTATTATTATTATTATTATTATTATTATTATTATTATTAAGGTGTCACGTGCGTAGCGTATAAAAGACGCTTAAACTTACGTAGTATTAATGTTTGTAAGTTTCACTGGTGATTTAGACGCTAACGTAAGTGCTGAGATTACGTTGATGTGGTAATGCTGTGCTAACCACCCATACGTGTGCAGTGTGGGTGAACGGAAAGTCACAAGAAAAAAGTCAGAAAAGTAACGCCTTTGGCTAGGAAAAATCAAAGGAAAAGGTCACATTTTATTTAAATACCATATAAATTTTTAGGAAAAATTAAAAAATAAATAAATAAATAAATAATATATATATATATATATATATATATATATATATATATATATATATATATATATATATATATATATATATATATATATATATATATATATATATATATATATATATATATATATATTTATAAAATCAGTTATTAATACTTGTATGTGTATTCAATATCTTAAACTAAGTATGGTAATGAAAAAAAAGTCATTTGCTGACAGTACGTGACAATTGGTTTAGTTTAGTTTAGTTTATGTTAGCTGAGCTTAGATTAGGTTAAGGTCTGTGACGTTTTTCTGTGACTCTTTTTTCCTGGATTCCCGTGTGTGTGTGTGTGTGTGTGCTGATAGACGGAAATGCTTCCTTATACCACACCAAGATTAATATTCGCTTGTTTGAATCATAAAAGTGAACTTTTATTATTTGGCTCGCCTGAGATTCGTAACACCCGGATTATTTTACCTGAAGATTCGCCACCCCATATTATTTCACGAAAATTACGATGTTATTTACTTAGACTTTAGCAAAGCATTTGACAGAGTACCGCATCAGAGGCTTCTGAGAAAAATTAAGGCTCATGGTATCGAGGGAAAGTTTTAAATTGGATAAAATCATGGCTCACCGATAGAACGCAGAGGGTCAGCGTAGATGGTGTTAAATCTGAGTGGGGCCGTGTAACCAGTGGGGTTCCTCAGGGGTCAGTACTAGGCCCACTCTTGTTCATAATCTACATAAACCATCTAGATACTGGGATCAGCAGTGACATAAGCAAATTTGCGGATGACACCAAAATATGGCGGCAGATTAATTCAGGGCAGGATGCAAATGCATTACAGGAGGATCTAAATAAACTGCAGGGGTGGTCTGAAAAATGGCAAATGAAATTCAACACCAGCAAGTGCAGCGTACTTAATATTGAAAGAACAAATACTGTCAATGCATACAGCCTTAACAACATAAACCTAGAGAAGTCGACTTGTGAAAGAGACCTAGGGAGGCTAGATAGATTCATGGATGATAGAGAGTGGTAGTAACTCTCGACAGGAGCTGCCATGCACAGGCCAACCGGCCTATTACAGACTCCTTATGTTCTTATGTTTCTTATTTCACCCTAATGGTAACCTAACCTAAACTACGGGTGATTCTATAATTGTTTGTATATAAATGCCAACTAAGGGAATCACATTCTTCATCTAGGGACGAAATTAAACAAATCCGAGATGATATTCTTTTCATCAGTTTTCGAATCGGTGGACGAGGGGCACAATTATGATGTGGTATATCTCGACTTTAGCAAAGTCTTCGACAGTCCTCCACGAAAGACTAATTAGAAAGGTAGAAACACATGGCATCAAAGGGTAATATCCTTAAATGGATTAGGGCGTGGTTACAGGACAGGAAACAGCGAGTGAGCATTAACGGCACTAAGTCCCATTGGAGCAACGTCACAAGTGGAGTTCCCCAAGGCTCAGTACTTGGACCATTATTATTTATTATATACATAAACGACATAGATATCGACATAGACAGCAACATAAGTAAATTTGCTGATGACACTAAAATAGGACGTGTTATGAAATCTGACGAGGACTCCGCAAAACTACAGGAAGATCTAAACAAATTTTTCGAATGGTCTGAAAAATGGCAGATGAAATTCAACGTGGACAAATGTAAAGTACTCAGTATAGGAGATGTAAACAGGGAAACCAGATACCAGATGAACAACGATGCCATAGAGAAATCCGACTGCGAGAGAGAGATTTAGGAGTAATGATAAGTAGGAACCTTAAGCCAAGTAAACAATGTGTTTTTGCTCGTAACAAGGCTAATAAAGTACTTGGGTTCATACAAAGGAGTGTTAGTTACAAGACTAGCGAGGTCATCCTAAAACTGTATCTTGCGCTTGTGAGACCACACATGGATTACGCAGTTCAGTTCTGGTCACCGTATTACAGAATGGATATAGAATCCTTGGAAAGAATTCAAAGGAGAATGACAAGACTAATCCCGGGCATTAGGAACCTTGAGTATAGAGACAGGTTAAAGCATCTTAATTTGCACTCCCTCGAGAGACGTAGAGCGAGGGGCGACCTGATAGAGGCGTATAAGTGGAAGTCAGGGCTAAACAAATGGGACATTACAAAGGTACTCAAACTATCCAACCAGGAGCGAATTCGTAACAATGGTTTTAAATTAGACAAATTTAGATTTAGGCGTGAAATAGGTAAACACTGGTTTGGAAACAGAGTAGTGGATGAATGGAACAAGTTACCAAATATCATCATTAACTCGAATACGCTGAATAGCTTCAAACATAAGTTGGATACTTATATGAGCAATAGGGGTTGGGTGTAAACGGGACTGTCCAGTATGGCCCAATAGGCCCGCTGCAGTTTCCTCCATTCTTATGTTCTTAAATACAAACACAGATTTAGCTACACAGGTGCTTGTGTGCAATAACTTCAATGTGGAAACAGAATTAAATGAGAGTTGGCCTTAACTTGTAATACATAAATATATAACCTAAATTAATTATCATTGAGGCAATACTGATAATTTTCAGTATGATTGAATGAGATATCCTCGTAGCTAATCCCTCTTTTACACAAAGGCCCGTGAATATGAGTACCGTAGAGTATGATGGTGCGGCCGCCTCGTTCTACACGTCTGGTATGAGTTTCTAATTCGTGCTATATCTATCATTTTTACTTCCAATACCTTTGCGTTAACTAATTTTGCTCCCAGATGATAATACGAGGGATAATTTATTAGAATTGGTGGATGTGAGTCATCTTGCTAGAGCTCACACTATAGAAGAAAAGGATTCAAGAATATCAAAGTTTGGCAATACTGTAGTTGCTCCCCTCCTCCAACACAGCCCGCCTCCCCTCCACCCGTCCTCCCTATTTTCCCGACCTCTAGCTAGAAATCCCTCCCCCCTCTGCACCAGCCAATCACCGCGCCAAGCTGCCTCATCTCTGAGGTGGTTTCAAATGACTACACAAGCGAATGACTTTATTTTTCTGTTATTGTGTCAAGACGTCTAATACGCGAATTTCTTTACTTCTGGGTTTTTTATGTAGTTGAGGTATGTAATGAAACTTAGCTACAAGAAGGTGGTTTACACCAGGCTTCCTTCCATACAGAGTTAATGTTAAAATTTAAACCGTAAGTGGCAACACTGTATGTGTGTGTGTGTGAGTGTGTGTGTGTGCGTGTGTGTGTGTGTGTGGCAGGCCCGCGTTCCTGTGTCCGCGGTCACACTGTAGAGGGCAATGCTGTCGCTGAGTTCACGACAGGTAAGCGAGTGAGCTTCGCCCTAAATCTTCAAGATTATTTCCAGTGCGGCATTGAAGTCTGAAAGTTCATCAAGTGCGGTGGTGTGTCTCGTTCACCAACCAGTGAAAGTAGTGGATACAAAATTCTTAAATTGTGTAAGTGAAATCTACAAAATATTGTGGATTGAAGTGAACGGTGATAAGGTTTGAGACCGCCTGTGGTTAAGCCTCACAAAGCCGCAGAAAACGGGGGATGAGCCTGAAGACAAAGAAGTCAATCGTTTGTTTAATGTGAAGTGACATAAGAAGGTGAATTAAATTTTAACTAATAGTGGAAGTAGGTTCTTGTAATTCATAAAAAAGTGGTGAATGCAAGGCTAAATTTACAAAAAGTATTGAGCCCGCAGTACCGCCGTGAAGAACTTTTGTGAATCACTGCTGGTGCGGGAGGTGCTGGCAGTGGTAGCCATTACTGTTTGTAGTCTTGTACGCCCACCTCATGGAATATTTAAACAAAGATTTTGAAATTGTGTATTTTGCCGTGTAACTGACCTGGTGAAGTGACCAAGTTGTGTTGAGGTGACCAAGAGGCTCGCTTGGCGCACTACAACAGTGCAGCGATGCATACGTTAACGTGTCGCTGCAACACCAATACGGATAAACTGAGCAATGTAAATGATGAGCAAGGGAAGACTTTTGTCGAATAGTTGCAAAAAAGTCCACCATTGTGCTCGAACTGCAAGAAAATGAAATCTTGGTGTATTCCTTACCTTGCTTTTGTGTTAGCTTACTAAGTTGTAGAGAACCCCAATTTACCTTGTTGTCTGGGGATGATGATCTTTTTGGTAGATTAAAAGGATCACCAGAAGATTGAGCACTCCAGCTTATTATTTGATGATTAGACACCCTAATGCTCGCCTGGTCTAACGTAAAACCTCCAGGTAGCGTTTGAGTGATTAATCATCAGGTGAAATAGAATGAAGTGCACATTATTCAGATGGTTCGAATATTCGTTCACTAAAATTCTGAATAAGTAAACATTGTTTCAGCTTTTATATAGACCGCAAGTATACAAATACAGAGAAGCTAAGTTCATTCAACCATGGATAGATTAAAAAAAACTGTTAAAACTTATTATATCTGAGGCTTTTGTTTCAAACGATTTTCACTGCTAGTCGTCATCGTTGCTACTGTAAGAGTATGGCACTAAAACATGCAATGTCAGTTATTTTTTTAGCATATGCCTTACATAAAATATGTGTTGGTAATTGCAAGTAAAATGTTTTGTATTCAAGACTTCAGTAGTTGAAGAAACTTATTAGTACATTACTGTATAACAAACAAAAACCGAAATGGTGAATGAATATTTTTTTTCCTTCCTCGAGTAATGCATTTACCCGTTAATTAATCATTATCTTATATTTTATAATTAGTAAGTATTTATAACTATTACGTGTTTTTACCTATAAAATCAAACCACTTCACTTTGTAACTTAACTGGATTATTTTTTCCTTTTTTGTGGGGGGGGGGGGTGGTCTCACTAATGTGGTTGTGCTGCTGAAGAAAGAAGTGTTGATTAACAGAATGCCGAGAGCAATCCGGAAAATGTAACACTCACCGTAGGAAGTAACTAACTAATACTACTATAACGGCTTTCTTTGCTATTCTTGGTTGAGTCGACTTATAGTTTGCCATTGTTTACATGTATACACTTTATAGACGCAAAACCAAATTGAATAGGACACCACAACAGCCTACCTATGCCAGCAATCTCCTGTTTATACCCTACCACACCTACATCTGCCTTTCTAACTCTAACAGAACAGTGGGAACTTTAATTATAGGGTGACTTTGGTTGGCTTGTTTGATAATACTTCATAATGGCGTTGAAATGGCCATTATTTACACCCCGTTAAATAAACAAAGGCGACCTAAACTTGCTCTACCGATTTTTTTAGGTCTTCAAGTTCCAGCTGGTTTCGAAGTACAGTATTGTACTGTATTTTTTGGACAAATATGTGCAATTTATCACCAGATCGTTTTAGAACATTAGATACGTTTCTACCTGTAAGCAATCATAATATGTTCGTGTTCATTTTTCCTCCTTAGTTTTCCCCTCACGAGATTTACATTAAAACAAAAAGCAACGGATGGTGTTGTCATATATATCAAGGAATGAATATACAATGATTTTAAGTGTCCAATTTTACGGACAGATCCCGTCACTTTGTATGTTTCGAGATTAGATTTATACTGCAATGTTAGGTTAGAGTTCACGATAAGCATTCAAAATTATCTCCCATCGCGAGAGACGAAATGTGTTGACTGCATAAAGGTGTGTGTAGTTAAGAGAGGTCAGATGGATAGGTTATGGGGGTATACTGGAGAAATGTGTGGGTGGTGTACTGAGAGAAAGGTGTCAAGTGTGGATGGCGGATGTACTGGGATAGTGTGAGGATGGTATGTGTACTGGGGTAGTGAGAGGATGGTATGTGTACTGGGGTAGTGAGAGGATGGTATGAGTACTGGGGTAGTGAGAGGATGGTATGGGTACTGGGGTAGTGAGAGGATGGTGTGTGTACTGGGGTAGTGAGAGGATGGTGGATGTGCTGGAGAAGAGTGTGGGCGGTGGGTGTACTGTAGAAGTGTGGATGATGAGTGTACTAAGGTAGTGTGTGGATGTTGCGTTGCTGAGGTATTGTATGGATGGTTTAATGTCGGAGGATGTGTGTGGATTTTTTCGTGAGAATGGTAGTTTCAGTAGTTATAGCAAACCGAACAAACGGGTGAGTGATTGTGAGAGTAGCAGATATGGTAGTGTGTTTGGGAGGGAGAGAAGTGTGAGGTGGAGGATGTCGGTGTTGGATGCCTGACCTGCGCTGCCACTTAAAAGGACTTTATATAAAAACTCAATTACAAACGAAATATCTATTTTAATGCTATTGGTATATTGAAATGAATAACACTCGTTTATAGCATATTTATGAAACCTTGACTGTCTCGGTTATTTGTGTTGACAATGAATTTATAAGGAGTTTGTTGGTGTGGCAGTATGGGGTGGTTCCCGCCTCTATACACTACAGCCAGGCTCCTGCCCTTCTCTGTTGCCTGTTTGACCGAAGGGCAGAATCCGTTGGTCATGGCAGCTCGTGTTTTATTCCTGGATATGTACAGAAAATATTACTTAATATTCTCGTGCTTAAATGTTTGATATTGAAAGTACATTTGCCAGTTTATTGGGAACATTAGAGTTATGAAATAAGTAAAACAAATACATACGTTTTAGTTATTGCCTTTTATTCAATTGTTTTACAGAAATCCTCTCTCCCCACATACATTTTAACTCGTGTGATGTTGTTGCAGGCGTGATGAGGCACTTCTGACAGCAACAAGAGGTGAGCGTGTGGAGGAGCGTGGAGATCGACGGTGTGTGGAGGCGGTGACACGCGAGCCTCAATGGCGCTTTGGTCGTTACACTGATGTTATGTCCCCACCACAGCACAGCACATGAGTGACGTCGACCTCAGCCTGCGTCAGCTTCTGGCATCCTACGACTCGGCATCGACCAGACCAAAACAGCCTCACAACCAAAGGTCAGTTGCCACCACCACCTAAAGGACTCGAGCACTTGCATGGTGGAAGATGGTTCAAAGTTCATACTTCACAATTTATTGATGTCATTGTGTTTTGGGAACTTTTTAATCTCCATTTCGATATTTTTTAAATGCATATCTACAATCTTTGCATTATAAATTTGTTGGTCAACAGGTTCATTCCTAAACTAAACTACCTTGAGAATTATTTCATGCAATTTTCTTGTATTGTGATGTATCAAAACATCAAATTCAATTTTGAGCCATCTTGGTTTTTTTTAGTAAATAAAGCTATTTTACACAATATTTTAGTAAGTGTGAAGAAATTTGTGTTAGGATGACTGTTGGGGGATAAAGAAATAGAAATTTCTTTTTAGTACCTGCAACAGGTGGTAGTAACTCGACAGGAGCTGCCATGCACAGGCCAACCGGCCTATTGCAGACTCCTTATTTTCTTATGTTCTTATTTACTGAGCTTTGGCAGACTGACATGACTTGGATCCCTGTAAATCTCATTAAACTTGGTTAAAAATTAAACCTCCTATAGTTTATTGTCATGTTGGAAATACGTATTTGATATTTTCTGGATATATATATATACAGTATATATATATATATATATATATATATATATATATATATATATATATATATATATATATATATATATATATTATTATTATTATTATTAAAGTACTAGAGTACAATACAGTATAGTATTAGTAATAAGGTACAGTAGTTGTAAAGTTGCTGTTTCGTTTGAAATTAAAGTTTATTTAGTAATTTTAAATAACTGATACACCCTTCTTAAGAATGAGACAAATACATATTTCTGTGTGTATCATGACAATGTTTTATTCCTTAAAATTAAGAAATTGTACAAAATCCCAGTTAGTCGCACTGCCTAGTGTCAGGAAGGATATAACTGTACAGGGTAATTGAAAAGTCCCTGTTTACCTGCAAAAAAAAAATCAAATACAGTACTGCAGTTATATATCTTATTCTACTTGCAGTAAGTATTGGAAATGGTCACAATAGTAACTGCTTGAAGTGGATACCATTTCTGATATATACTGAATGCAGAATAAGGTGTATGACAGGTATGTACAGTATAACAAGAAGCAACTACCAGTGTAGTATTGTTTTGTTTTTTATACAGATGCACAGGGACTTTTAGATCACATAGTAGCTACTTATTGTAGTTCGAATCAGAATATAATGTCTAGACTGAGAAGCCCAGTTGCCATTCAGCAATGAATGTGTAATAAGACAATGTTTTATAGTTGAAGAAAATGGGAAGTGGCATTCAGTGTGGCCATTAATAACACTTGGATTTTTTTTTCAAAGATTAAGACAGGTGAGAAAACTATAGTTGATTTCAAAATGAGTATTACATGACCGCTTATAGTAAACATTGTAATTTGACAATAAAATGCAGTACAAAGTTGACAAAATTTAGTATACTGTACATAAATATGTTGGTGATATTCAGCATACACATAAAACCCCATTACAGTATATATTTGTTATCATTAAGGTTCGTATATGAGATGACAAATAAAACGTTATCATCACTTTATATTGATGTGAGGTTTATGGAAAATCAAATGTCATTGATCTAATTCAAGATTCAGTTTTATATTTTCATGTGCCGTACAGTATTTTAACGGATTTTTCTGTTAAGTTTTCCCATTTTTTGTAGATGGCCATTGGATAATAATATTGAATACTGTAATTGTTTTTGCATTTATTGAATATAATATGAGATTATTAAAATATTCAGAGCCCTCAGTAAATTAATATTATACTGCACTGTATACTGTAGTACAGTAAAACATGCATATATTTGTTGCCTTTAATTAGGGTAATATTTCAATCTTCTGTAATGTGCTTTTGCTCAATTGTGTTGCCTGACCACATAACAGCTACTGTGTACTGTATGTCATGCTGTTACACAACATTTGCTCACTGTCTGCTGAGCGGTGCCTCCAGTGCATTAGTGTTGTATGGGAACTGGGTCTCCATATACTACAGTGTATATGTTCTATATTTGAATGGAAAAAGTTGATTATGTTCAATAAACAAGTCCTTCACATATGAAAAGCCCTCAGTTTTCTATTCATTGTGAGCCTTGTAAAATATTATATTCCTTTTCATTAAATTCACATAAATGTGTTTTTGCTTAAATAATAAGCTTAATGGAGGCTTTTTCAATTCTCTTGTAGTATTGCTCATAATTTATACATTAATTTTCTAGTAAAATATTTGTCGGTTCCAAAGTCAGGGAGGGACGCTTATGGTGTGGGATTAGTATTGTAATAAAATTTACATAAATAACCAAGGAAATTTTTTCTTGTGGTAATTGTTATAATTGTCATGGTATGAGTTTTATAATGATTTGCAAGGAGTGCAAATACTTAATGTGCAGTATCCTGGTTTGTCGAGGATGCGCTTGTCATGTGTGTCAATTATACTGTTGAAACAATTAAGGGGTGAAGGGGTGGAGTAAATTGTGGCAGAGTGTGGGGGAGGGTAAGGGTGAGAGTGGAATGTGGCATGAGTGGAGGCAGTATTTTGCCACAGCTGGTGGTTGGTTGCTCTCTGCACTCTCCCTCAGAGTGCCACCTGCAACTCTCACTCAACACTTAATTTCCTAATTAAACTTTTAAGATGATAGAACCATATTGTTGGGAGCTGAAATTCTGCATCTTAATCAGATGCAGATTTGTGCTACCACTGATCTTAATTTGTACTTCTAATAAAATACACTCAGCTGATGCCATCCCAGGTAATGTTTTAAAATGGTTTTGCAGTTGAAGTCAGTGATGCTGGGGTAGTGTCAGCAGAGTTCCATAGTTACCACATTAGTGCCCACTTCATAGTACTGTACTAGATATTAAAAAGTCTTGCTCTAGGTAGGGTTTCTTGTCTTGTTATGCTGGTTGCTCTGCCATTTTAAAGCCTTAGTCATGAGAGCTGCTCTAGCTGACAATCCAACTCAAAGATAAGTGATAGTACCAATAATCTTCTTGTAAATCTAAAGCTGATGCCTTTTAGGATAGAAATATACTCTAATGCTAATATATGCACCTTTCATTTTACAGTTGGCTTTAAGAGCCATTAACGAGGTTCACTAGAAACCAGAATTTTGTAAATTAAATAGGTAAATGTCCAGTTTTATGTTCTGCATGTTGTAGTTTTGGGTGTTACCTCTCAGTTCACCTCATATGCATGTTCTAATTTCATTTCTTCCTTCATCTGTAAAAGAACTGAGGTTTAAAGGATTTATATTGACAAAAATGATGGTAGTTAAATTTTTTCAACTCCATTTGTATTATTGCTGAATATAAGTAGATTTGTTTTCAGAACTTGCTTTAATGGTAAATAGCTTATTGAGAAATTGACATACAGTGAAATACAGACGATGAAGGAAGATGCGATCGAACCAGTAATGTAGTTCTCCCTTTACAGAGAGAGAGGAATGGTAATGCCAGGCCAGAGTGGGAGGTCCTTTGACATTATCCGGCAGATTGTCGGAAATGTTGTCAATATCTTCAATAAGAGGGCCTCGCCCTGTACAGCACCATGTGATGGCATGGTGCTTAAGATGCACTACCAGTGGACTTTCTGGGTCCTTCTAGGAGGCTTCTCTGCCATTTGGTATTCTTGGTACCACAGAGATGTGATCACTTGTGCTTCTCACTTTAATGCAGAGACACAAGTTCGGTTAGACTACATCAACATTTGCCTCTCTTACCCCTTCGTGGATGGAGCGGGTGAAGATGCTGGTGAAGGTGAAGTTGGCCAGAGACGATATCTTCTCTTTTATCGTTGGATCCACTGGGCACTACTACTCCTGGCTGGCATCTACTACATTCCACGCAAGATTTCCAAGACATCAGAAAACTCCAAAGTGAAGAAGCTGATTGAAGACTTAGCTGTGAATGCTCATCGTTATGATGGTCTGGAACGAGAGCTTGTTGAAAGAACTGCTAAATATATTGCATTTAACCTGAAGACTCACAATGGCCTGTATTACAAATACGTTACATGTAATTTGGTTGCTTTGCTGGTTGACATATTCTGCTTCCAGTTTCTTGATTTTGTCTTCCAAGGACGATTTCTAAGATATGGTTTTCAAGCATACCCTTTTAACCGTGACCCACAACATTTTACAGACTATATGTCTGATATGTTTCCTCCTTTTGCCAATTGTGAGTTGCACAATGAAGTACAACTGACTAATAAGCGGACTGAACGGCTGGGTTGTCATCTAACTGTGATGGAATTATATGAGAAGGTTTTCTTGGTGTTGTGGCTCTGGCTCATCATTATGACAACCATGACAGCCTTTTACCTTGTGTTCTTGGCTTCAATGTGGGTCCCCTGGGCACGACTAATGATGCTTAGAATTGCAAAACCTTTGAGTGCAAAGGATACAATCCGGAACACAATCTGCAACATAGTGAGCACTTGTAAAGTTGGAGATGTCTACCTTCTGTATCGCTTAAAGCAGCATTTTAGTCATGCACGGTACTATGAGCTCTTAACACGCCTCTCAGACCCAGACTTCCTCCGCACCATGCTTGACAGTGTATCCATCGACCACCATGGCCACAACAAAGGTGTTGGGGGACAGGATCTCCGCCAACGCAAGAACAACCCGAAAACCCCAGGCAAGTTTCAAGATGTCCTCTTTAACACACCTGGTGAGGGGGGCTATCTACCCAACTCCAGTATCTTAGTTGAATAAATTAGGGGAAAAAGCCTAGAAGCTTAAGTCAATAATACAGCAACCTCAACCCAATTTATCATGTGTACTTATCAATCGATAGTACAAATGGACAGTGGTGGTCAGTTAAACCAGCTGACTGACTTTTGACAAGGTTTGGTGGAATCTTTCCGAAATTTAAAACCATGTGATGATAATTTAATGATGCGAGTTTTTTATTATTTTTTTATATAGTATAGTGTGTGAATGTCAGTTACGAGTGGAGAATGATAGAATTTGCTTGTGTTAAATATTGTTAAGCTGTACTTTTGTATGAATCTCTAGTTAGCAGTGCTTAGTGTACTTAAGGTTTATTTTATATGAAATACAGCCGACATACCCAGGTTATGCATTTATGTCTCTACTATGGCATTTTATCGTAGTTCATGCATTTAAGCCTCTTTTAGAGACTAATGTTGACATTCTTGTTCTCAAAAGTTTTATGGGGGGAGGGAAGGACCTGCAAGTTGAGACAATTCTGCTTTAGTCTGTTCTTAATAAAATGTGAACAGTGACTGTCTTTTCATTTTCTACCTTCTTAAGCATGGGCTCCGCTTTCAACATATGTACAATGGCATGGTTGTGGGCACTGATATGGTATACTGTGGAGGCTTATTAACCTCTTTTGTTTCAGGTGTGTCTTAAGTCGGAGAGCTTAGGAGCCTAATTTCAATGAATTGATTTTTCAGGAACTGAAAGATGGCTATCATAGGTCACGGTGGCACCGACATTATCCGCCAATTGGTGGGCAATGTGGTGAACATCTTCAAGAAGAAACGTGCACCATGCACCTCCCCCTGTGATGGACTTATTCTCAAGATGCACTACCAGTGGACCTTCTGGCTATTACTTGCTGGGTTCTCTGCTGTCTGGTACTCCTGGTACCATCGTGATGTGATCACATGTGTATCACATTTCAATGCTGAGACCCAGGTCCGTCTGGACTACATTAACATATGCCTCTCCTACCCGTATGTTGAGGAAGGCAGCTCAGACCGTAGATTCCTTCTATTCTACAGATGGATACACTGGACTCTACTAGTGCTAGCTGGCATTTACTACATCCCTCGAAAAATCTCCAAGAATTCAGAAAATCCAAAGGTAAAAAAACTTATCGAAGACCTTGCTGTGAACTCTCATCGATATGACCAAATTGAGAAAGAGTTGGTTGACAGAGCAGCACGCTATATTGCTTACAACCTTAAGACCCACAATGGATTGTATTACAAGTTTGTCATCTGCAATGTGGTAGCATTGTTTGTTGATCTTATCAGTTTCCAATTTTTAGATTTTGTGTTCCAAGGTCGCTTTCTTCATTATGGGTGGATGTCATACCCATATAGTCGTGACCCTGTTAATTTCTCGGACTACATGTCTAGGACTTTCCCTCCATTTGCCAAGTGTGAACTGGGTGTGGTAAACAAGCTGGTTGGCCAAAGGACAGAGAAATTTGGTTGCCATTTAACAGTGATGGAATTATATGAGAAAGTGTTTTTAGGGGTATGGGTGTGGCTGATCATCTTGACGACAATCACTTGTGCTTACCTGATATTTTTGGGTTTCATGTGGCTCCCATACTTCCGTTTAATGATGCTTAGGGTGGCCAAGCCTCTCAATGCCAAAGACACAGTGAGTAACACTATAGTATCTGTAGTGAACTGCTGCAAGATTGGTGATGTTTATTTGCTCTACCGTTTGAAACAGCACTTAAGTCATGCCAGGTTCTATGAACTCTTAACTCGACTCTCAGATCCAGAACTTATAAAAACCATGCTTGAGGACCCAGCTGATCGAGCAGTTCATGCCAGAAACCAGGACAACATGCGTAACAGGAAACCGAACATGACCATTGGTGGACCTAAAGGCAAATTCAACAATCCCAACGATCTCTTCATCTCCCAGGATTATGGACGACCTAACACCAGCATTCTGGTGGAGTAACTAAAGCCTACACAGGGGTTGTAGGCTCTTAAGTACTTATAGTGCCGCTCGGGGAGAGCACTGTGTCTGTTGCTTAAGTGCTGACTGAGTATCAGATGTGTTCGCTGGGACGCCTATGCTGCACCTCCCTCGTAGTGTAAGGCTCAGTGATATGACTGTGGTATTTCTATTGTTCGCCTTTTATGTATGATAGTTGTTGGTTGAATATAGCCATGGTAAATGGTTAATTAATTCATGAATGAAAGTGTAATGACCGTCCAAATGTGTTGTATGTACAGTATTCATATTTTAACTTCTGATATTAGCTATTTATAAGCCTTTTGATAGGGAACAGTTTTACATTGGTTTCATCTGCAAATTTTTTTGTTGCATTGCAGTTTAAATGTGCTTGTGAATGAATGAGATGAAGGCAAACTTGTTGCATAGTTTTGATGTATTAAGTGAGATATGGGCTAATTAATTGCTGTAATATGTGTAGGGTTGTGTCCTCCAGTCATGCCCAGTCATTTACAGCATTTGTTAGTATAGCTTCATGATTCATGTTGCAAGTATTTATGCATTTTAGATTCTTAAAGAAGTTAATTCTTTGTGAAATCTTCATTAGTGTTCATTATTTGTGAAAATAATTGATTTTATTTTTATTTTATGTGTAGCTAATGCTGAAATTTTAATTGACCCCAATTTGCTTAAAAAAATCAGTGATATGACTTGCCAATAACAAGATGGTGTAAATGACATTGTTATCAATGCCATATTGGGAGACAATCAAGAAGATGACATACATTTTTGTACTATTTTGACAATAAAAAAAAATTCCATCCCAGTTATACCTTTCCCAACCCACAACCAGTGCCATTCTACATTGTGATCAAGAGCTGGGAGCCCATGGTGTGTTTATTGATGTTGGGGATAATGCAGCCAATATTGAATGTTAGACTAATTCTTTACTGTACAGAACCTCTTGATGCTCTCACGTGTCATGAAATATAATTTTACAATTGATATTTTATGTTTGCTCTGCAAAGATGAACATTTTTCTAAAATTGGTTACTTTCAAGGTTGACACTAAAGGCCTTCAATCTGTGATTTCTTTAGTTCTGCATTCTTTTTATCGTTCTATACTTCAGTTTAAATACCGTACTTTCCCGTTGACTTCTGTTTTTAAAGTGGACCAATCCAAATTATTTTCTATTATTATTACAGTACTTCATTTCTTCTAATCTACTATCAACCTTCTGCTTGAGTTTTTATCTATTTTCATATTTTCATTAACATCTGCAATCTTGCCTCTGGTCTTGCTCAGGAGGAGGCAGGGGACCTCATGCTATTTATCATCTAATGTGGGAGTTGTGTATACAATAATTTGAACCAATGCCAATGGATTTCAACCAAACTTGCTGTATGGAGATACGTGTATGAGGTGCTCCTGGCAAGAACAAGACATGTGACAGAAACTTGAGATGTGTTTATAACAATGTAATTATCTTCAAACTTTCCTCTAAACTTTAAAAGCATTATTTTTATCCTTCACCTACCTCTCACTCAAAGCACCTCATATCACAATGAGATCTCAAGCAAGTCTAGTAATAAACATTTACTCTTATAGCTGTCTGTAAGTTGGAGCCTCTTGGATTTTGCTGTGGTGTGTCAGGAGATTTGCCCACCTCTAGTATCAAATTATTGACACTTGATACTGTCTCACTGAAGTGTGAGTTGCCTTGTTTAGTGTCCCCCTGTCTGGTCACTCTTGCCTTTCACCCATCTGATTACTCCTGTCATCTACCCTTCTGATAACCTCTCTCTCTTGTTTAACCACAAAAGGGCCGAAGCAATCAATTCCATTGTAGGTGAATGGTCGGCCTTCTGGGCGCACTCGATCTCCTGGCAAGTCGGATTGGCGTTGATGGGTAGGCCTCCAGGTGCTCCGGTGAATACTGTAGGAGAGTGATACCCCCAACAAACAATGAAAATGGTTTATTAAAGTATTGCTAGACTTATGACAAGTGTACTTCCAGTAACACACAACTACCAGGATCAACTCCATGGTTCCACTCATTTTGTACTTTTGACGAGGTACACCTTCCAACATCCACCATTACTTGGTGTACCTTTAAAAAAATACACAACACTATACTCTTACATATAGCACACTTGAGCCATCAATACAGGTTACCTGAGAATTGTAGCTCTAGAGTGGCAACCCTGGCTGGGTCTCTCGAGAGGGCAATTCAAAAGATGTCGAAGTCTTTAAACTGCTAGGGGAACATATGCACACGGGGGTGGAGGAGACTGCAGTGGGAGCGGGTAAACAAAGTGAAAGGTTACAGGGAAATAGTGCTAGGAATTATGACAAAACTAAATTAAGCAGGGAGTTAAAACCTAAAAGCGACAAAGAGAGGACTTAAATGTCTGCTATGCAAACAGTAGAAGTATGAGAAACAAAATGGATGATATTAGGGCCTTGGTATGTACCGAAAAAATCGATATAACAACATTCACCGAAACATGGATAAACCTAGACTCAAGTGAGTTACCTGTCGAATACCAAATTGCAGGTTACAAATTATTCCATACCAATAGGCAGATTAGGAGAGGAGGCGGAGTAGCAATCTATGTCAGGGATAATCTGAAGTGTGAAATAAATAAGGAAATCAAAACTGAATGGAATACAGAAACAATTTGGATAGACTTAATTGATGGTAGGGAAAAATTAATCACAGTAGTAATATATAGACCCTTCATTCTTGATAGCGTCAATGAGCGATTTATCTGGGCCAAAATGCACAGGGCTTCCATACATAGCAAAGTCTGTATAGTAGGTGACTTTAACTTTAGCCAAATAGATTGGACTGACCTTACGGGTAACTCGGAATCAGGATTTTCTTGAAACGATCCAGGACTGTTTCTTAAGTCAACATATAACCGAACCCTCCCGGGGTAATAATATACTCGATTTAGTTCTGTCAAACAGAGAAAGCCACATTATTAATGTCGAGGTAGGTAACGAACTTGCAAACAGCGATCACAAAGAAATTAGATTCCAATTAGAATTTCAGGACAGCCATAAGGAAAATTCCACTTAAGTCCCAGATTTCAGAAGGTATTGGCTGGTAGGGTTAAGACCGAGATAAGAAAAGCCAAGAGGAATAATGAGCTGAAGATAGTAAGGGAGGCAAAGTCAAACCCCAAGGGCTTCTATCAAATGTATCAAACTAAAACACAAGAAAAGATTGTACCAATATAGTCAGATACCGGCGAGCTAACTGATAATGACGGAGAAAAGAGCAATAATCTGAATAAATATTTTTCAACAGTTTTCACCACCGAAAATTTAAACATGATACCTGAAGCTCCAACTCTATACAGAGATGGTGAAGGAAATAAATTAAGCGAGATAGTAGTGACTAGTAACGATGTTAGTAAGCAAATAGATAAACAAAAGCCTAATAAGTCACCAGGTCCCGATGAGATATTTGCCAGAGTATTAAAGGAATGTGAGGAAGAGCTTAGTATGCCCTTAGCAACGTTGTTTAACATGACCTTAGTACCAGAATCCTGGAGGATAGCAAATGTAATACCAATTTTCAAGAACTGAGATAGATCATTATCCTCTAACTACCGTCCAATCAGTCTAACATCAATTGTCGGCAAATTACTGGAAGCAATCTGTTATCGCCGCTGGCTTCAACTACAGTGCTGGTGTTGCCTTACCCGAACAAACATTCAATCTATCAGCCTGCAACCACGTGCCTCCCCCCCCCCCCTCACATGACCTGCACAAACAAGATGCCCTGATTCTGCTGAGTGTATGGTTTAAAGGGTGGCATGGCCGCCTGGCCTCCATGATGCAGATCGCCTTCTCAAGTGATGTTGTGAGGACCATGCAACCACTGCTGTGAGGACCATGCAGCCACTGATGTGAGGACCATGCAGCCACCAGCCCTCTGTGGTAAACATCGACTCTCAATCCTGGCCGAGTTTTGTGCTGGAACAATTTACACAGTACTATTGTCCCTTGGAACACCATACTGGTTCACATTGACCTGCACTTGTAAGTACAGCCAAAGTGATGACACACCCCTCAGTACTAAAATATTGTGGACTAATTATGCCTACTCGTTTCTGCCTTATCAGGAGAAATAAGACAATGCACAATGAATTGTAACTAAGATTTATAGAGTTATGAACTTTGTATCACGTCACTATGCTTAATAATCAATTGTAATTAAGATGAAATCATCTGAGACTAACTAATTATGTATGGGCTCACATTCGTACGTACATGTAAGATATCTCACTCAGGATGGAGATAAGAATAGAAACTCACAATGCATTTTCTGTATATATACTGTATGTACAGTGCAGTACTGAGGAGTTGCTGTGTGATAAGCTTGCTCAGAGGTCCTGTTGGGTGAGGAGCTTGCTGAGGGAGCTGGTTAGTGAGGAGCTTGTTGGGAGGTCTTGCTGGTTCTGGAGAGTAGAGTAGAATGAGCTCTGATGATGATAATGGAGATGAAATGGCAATGGCTTGCCATGGGAAGGGAGAGAAGAGGTAAGGTGGAAGGAAAGTTATGAAACGGGAAGTAAAGTAGTAGAGAATAAGAGCAGGTGGGCTATCCACCTAGCAGAGACGATTTGATTGGCTGTAGTGAAGGCCGCACTAAGAGGTCGCCTGAGCTCAAGGGAATGGGGAGGAGGAGGCTAAGCTAGCTAGCAAGGGGGTGTTTGTTATTGTGTTAGTTGGAGAGGTCTACTAGGTCCTTGTGTAACTAGTAGAATACTCTCATCTTTTATCTTATTGGCGTCAATGAGTTATTTATGCTGTGGTGTATAATTGTGTAAGTTGGAGAGGTCTGCTAGGTCCTTGTGTAACTAGTAGAATACTCTCATCTTTTGTGTACTATTTAGTGTACAATAGTTCTGGCTCTTGAGGGTTATGGAGAAGGATTTTTGGCCACCAGCTGTGTGATCTTCTGGTGTCCTCTGTTTTTAGTCGATGGTATAATTCGTCTTCCATTACTTCTAGTTTGTACCATACTGCCTGTGCTTGGCTGTATGTTCTTATGTTCAGCGGTAAAATATTGTATTTTTCGTGAAGCTCTTTAATTTTGGTTGTGTATGGGGGACGTTGTTTGGAGGCTCTGCGGATGGCTTTGTTCTGTATTGCCTGAAGTTTTAATTGGTTGGTAAGGCTGATCGTGTTTAATGGTATTGGCGGGTATTCAAGATGGGGGCGGACATGTGCCTTAAATAGGTGTAGTTGTATTTTCTCTTCCATTTTGCCGAATCTTCTTAATTTGGTAAGCTGTATTTGGGCTAGTCTATTGCGCTCTGTTATGTGTTTCTTTATTCCGGTTCTTGTTATCGTCAGCCCCAGTATTTTTCCTTCGTTTGAGTAATGTATTTCTTCGTTGTTTACTGTGATTGGGGCTGGGTTTATCCTTGAAATGTGTATGATCTTTAGTTTCTGTGTATTAGTTTTTATTTTCCAATTTCTTCTCGTAATTATTTATTTGTATTATGGCGCGAGCTGTTTTTAATGCCATCATCTGTTTGGCCTTGCCTGGATGGCGGATGATCTGGGTGACATCATCAGCATATGCGATGTATTCACCGTGAATTGGTGGCGGCATGTCTGAAGTGTAGATTATATAAAGAGTTGGGGATAAATTACTTCCTTGTGGTACTCCACTATAAAGTCTGAAGCTTGGGCCTTTGTGATTGCCTATTATAATGTGTGCTTATCTATTGTCCAAGAAATTACACAGTAGAGAAGTGAAGTTGTTAGGGAGTTCTTGATTGGTTATTTTATATTTAAGTCCCAAGTGCCAGACCTTATCGAACGCTTTTGCCACATCCCTTCATGGTATATGATTATATATCTTAATTATAAATTACATAATACTGTTATGCAGAGGCATAACTTAGTATTGTAATGTTTGTAAACTAGGTGTTTTGATAATTTTCTGTCCCAAGCAGCAGTTATTTTGGCAATTTTAGGGAGACTTTCTTGTATATATTGATATACAGTGTATTACTTATGTAAGATTGTTCTAGAATGGATTGCACCATTTTTGCTATGATTTACTCCCTATTGTAAGCCTCGATCAGAGTAGAACGTTAACCTCCCAGGCGTGTCTGGGTGGTGCTAGAGTCATCTGACGAGACGTATCCCCCTGTATATAAACACCCACGAGCGGCATCGAAGTCAGTACTTAACTCTTCTAACTTTACCTTCTTTTATCTTCAGAGCCTATATGGCTTCCTTCCCTTCATCTACAGTAAAAGTCAGTCGACCGTTTCGGCTCAGACTGTAAAGTACAACAAGCCTAGTAGAACAACTGAAGATAATTGTAGTGTATTTATTGTGGAATTGTTGCGATCAATATAAAGTGAAAAGACTAAGGAATTGTTCACCGGTAGTGTGCTGTGTTCGAAATGAGTCCAGCTGTGAAGACATTACCCTGTGAACAGTGTTGTGAAGAATTAGTGATTCTTAAAGTGACTACAGTGCACAAGTGACCTGGTGGGAATCTACCTGCCTCTTGGATGTCTGTACACTGATACCGATCGTCAATAAATTATCGGACTGGCGGGACAGCCAGTAGTAATTGGACAGCACATGTAGTATATCTACTGCTTTTGTACATAAGACCCTGGCCGCTGGTAACCAGCGGTGGAAGCTGGGTAAGCAGTGAGAGAAGGGTCATAACAATGCAATCAGTGTCTGAGCTGACAGGGTTCTGGTAAATATCAAAACACATTTCATTACCTCGAAACTGAGGGCCTCACGGTTTTAGGCTCCAACATGGATAAAGACTTTAGTTCTTAGCCTTGTATATCACTTCTACTTTTTTACTTTTATCCTTTTCGCCAATGATCGGCTCGTTAGCCTTTTGGGCGGTCAATCACGTCTCTGCTTCGCACTGGTGGCGAATACTGGGCATGTAATTGGCTCCTGAATGTATCTGTACCTGTGCCAGTGTCGGTCAGGTCTGATCTTGAGAGAGCTCACACTTGTGCCGTCACAACTCTCTTTGGCAGATTGTTCCAAAAGTTTACAATTCTCACTCCGAAAAAGTTTGCCCTCACCGTTTGCTGGACTTGTGGCTTCTTCAACCTTGACCTGTACCCCCCTTGTGGGGTGGGCGTCCGCCAACTCCAGGTATGGACACTCGACTGAATAGTGCACCTTGAGATGCTTATACACCTCAATTAGGTCACCCCTTGCCCGTCTGTAGTATAAGCTAGGCAAGTTCAGGCGCTCCAATCTCTCAGGGTAGCTGAGGTGCCGAAGTGGTGGCCCTCCTTTGTACATTTTCAACCAACTGACAGTCCCTAGCATATCTCGGGGACCAGACGGAGTGACAGTACTCCAGATGGGGAAGCACTTCACTCTTCAAGATCGTTACGAGGGACGGACCGCCTAGATATCTGAACGACCTTATAAGACTCAATAATTTATTTACCTGATTTACCATTTTATTTGTATGTTAGGAGTATCATTTACCTGCAGTATTTTGCCGTCAGTCTTTCCCATTGCTTGATACCAGAATTACAATGTACCCAGATGTCATAACCCTCGAGCCACGTAACCAAAGGTCAGAGGTTATGGAGTAACTATATGAAATTAAATAACTAGACAAAACTAATGGAGAAAATGAATTAAGTAACAAAATTAAGAGAAAACCAGGTTGAAGAGTTTAAAAGTTAACCACCATCGTATAAAAAAAAATTAGAAAAGAACTCAACCGGCCCTTATAGTGGGAGTAAAGGAAGCAATTTTGAAAGACGACAGGCTCCCCACTGAACGAGCGCTGGGAATCTTGTGGGACCTGGAGAAAGACGAACTCGCGGTGGGTCCAGATTCCTAAGAAACCGGAGACGAAACAAGGCCTTCTGAGTATGGTCATCTCCATATATGACCCAATTGGACTCATCGCTCCGAGCATCATAAGAGCCAAAATCATATTCCAAGATGAGTGAAGATAAGGTGTTGGGTGAGATTAACAAATGGGTGAACAGAACATGGTGGCATGGCGAAGATGGCTAGATGAACTTCCTCACCTATCACGGTACACGTTCCACAGTGCTACTGAACCGAGAATGCAAATCCAGTTGTAATCGCCCAATGAGCGACTGTGGGATAATGAGACCCTTGCACGTAGGACTCGACTGTTCTTTATTCGGTCAAAACCTGCAGAGTACAAATTACATACGTTACATATGAGATAATTAAATCATTTGTACGTTCCTTCACTATTAGCAACTACATATGATATATTTGAGTAGAGTGGGGTGTTAAATCATACAAAAACTTACGTGTTTCGGGTCTAATGTAGGACTTATTAGCTCCCTGTCTTGTTAGCTCTCTGGACGGTTAGACGCTAGAGACTATCGTCTGAACCCCACAGGGAGCGAGTCAGCCCGAGGCGAGGACCATCTGTTTCATATTTAACACCTCAGCAAAGTTTGTTGTCAACACTCTGTCTCTCTCCTGTCTCCCTTTTCTCTCTCTCTCTCTCTATCCCTCTCTTTCTCTCTCTCTTCTAGTTTATCCTACTGTGGCGGTAACACCAGTAGCTGCTGTGCAACTACACCACTTCTGTGACGCCTGCCAACAAGCGTATGGAGCTGTATCGTATCTGAGGACCACGTGTGAAGATGCAACCCACCATATCTCCTTCGTGTGTGGCAAGGCCAAGCTAGCCCCTCTGAAACAGCAGACCAAACCTCGACTCGAGCTCTGCGCGGCAGTACTGGCTGCCAAGGCAAACAAACAACTATGGTGAGAACTTGAATTACAAATAGACAGATCAGTCCTTAAAGTACATACGAAACACCGGAAGATGCTTCCATTCCTTTGTGGCCAATCGAGGCTGCCATGGTCACGTTTGTGTAGTTAGACCGTTCAACACTTCATTCTTCATATTATGCTTCAGCGTCCACAAAACATGTGAAACGTGTGAGTCCCCCCAGTACAGATGTCTGTTCTCTATCCATTTCAGGATGACATAGTTCTTCCATTTTCTCTCGTATACTCGCTCAGAGACTCGGGTATCTTTAAATAACTCAGAATGCTCTGGGAATTTCATGTGGGTAATGTCACTGTTTTCTGCCATGAAGGACAGAGGTTCGTACACAAAGAAATGCATCATATTCATTTGTGAGTGAATAAATTTATTGTACAGTCAAGTATGTTTACCCACAGTGAAAGGAAATAGTCATATGTTTTGCGTATGGTTACACAGCGGCAGTTCGAAGCTGAAGTCATTCTGTTTTGATACATGAACATCAGAGAATCCGATGGAAACATAGAAAGTGTTGTCAGTCTTGTATTATTGAAATTAGATAATTGTCTAAAATGTAAACACAAAACGTACTTATCGCTCGAGTTTAACGGAAAATCTCAGTAATTTGCCTCTGCAACCCTCACCTCCGCACACTGCCGACTCAACCCGACCCGACCCAACTAGACCTGACCTGACCAGAACAGACTGGACCAGCTGCCTATGGGTGTCTTCTGTATGTTGTGTATACCTGTTGCTATTTTCTTTGTTTCTTGTATCTTATAATATAAGTTATTTTTGTTCTATCGGGTACTTTCTGCTCATTTATTTATTTTTTGTCTTATTCGCTTGTTCTTATTTGCTTATTTATTTCATTATTTCCTAGCCATGGGGATTAGATAAAACCAATTTATTTTCTTGGTAACTCTATCTCTCTTACAGGTGGCAGGATGAGCGGATAAGGGAGGAGTTGGGTGGAGAAGAACAAGTCTGAATGTGTGTGGAGTCTGTGGACATGTGTAAGTTTTCGTCAGTGGTCATATATCGCGGGTGTTTATATCCCATCAGACGCCTCTAGCACCACCCAGGAGTGTCTGGGTGGTGCTAGAACGTTCTACTCTGATCGAGGCTTACAATAAGAAGAAAATATTAACAAAAATGATGTACTGTAATGCATTCTAGAATAATCTTACATAAGTAATACATCAATATATACAAGAAAGTCTCCCTAAAATTGCCAAAGTAACCAGTGCTGGATTTAGACCTGTGGAGGCCCATGGGCAGCCTCTTTGTGGAGGCCTCCCCTCATTATAACTACCCAAGAGCGTGGGGTGGCGAGTAAAGCGAGACGAAATATCCGGGAGTTCCGGGGGGCGCTGTAAGCCCCCCGGGAAAATTTTGAAATTTGAACACTTCTTTGGAGAATTTTGAAGCCATATGCAGTTATATTGAGGAAATTAGAACATTAAGAAATTTTTAATTAACTGTATATTTATTGATAGTGTACAAATTCCCAACACACACACAAAAGTGAGACATGACTGGAGTCATTCACGTGGTTTCAAGTCGACCAGCCCTGATATAGCTACTACCGCACATGTCAAAAATTTTCAAGAGACTTCACAGAAAAGAATATATTATTAGTTATTACAGAGAGATGATTCTTTGCATTATTAATCAGATAAACCTCTACTCAAATAATGGTTCTGTCCAAGAATGCATGTATAGGCTTCTTTATGTCCAAGGTCAGATGTAATATGTGGAGGCCCCTGGGCAGTTGCCCACTTTGCCCACTCCTGAATCCGGCCCTGAAAATAACTGTTGCTTGGGACAGAAAATTATCAAAACACCTAGTTTACAAACATTACAATACCAAGTTCTGCTTCTGTATAACAGTGTCATGTAATTTATAATTAAGAACATCAGAACATAAGAATGGAGGAAACTGCAGCGGGCCTATTGGCCCATACTGGGCAGTCCCGTTTACACCCAACCCCTATTGCTCATATAAGCATCCAACCTATGTTTGAAGCTATTCAGCGTATTCGAGTTAATGATGATATTTGGTAACTTGTTCCATTCATCCACTACTCTGTTTCCAAACCAGTGTTTACCTATTTCACTCCTAAATCTAAATTTGTCTAATTTAAAACCATTGTTACGAGTTCGCTCCTGGTTGGATAGTTTGAGTACCTTTGTAATGTCCCCTTTTTTAGCCCTGCCTTCCAATTATACACCTCTATCAGGTCGCCCCTCGCTCTACGTCTCTCGAGGGAGTGCAAATTAAGATGCTTTAACCTGTCTCTATACTCAAGGTTCCTAATGCCCGGGATTAGTCTTGTCATTCTCCTCTGAATTCTTTCCAAGGATTCTATATCCATTCTGTAATACGGTGACCAGAACTGAACTGCGTAATCCAGGTGTGGTCTCACAAGAGCAAGATACAGTTTTAGGATGACCTCGCTAGTCTTGTAACTAACACTCCTTTGTATGAACCCAAGTACTTTATTAGCCTTGTTACGAGCAAAAACACATTGTTTACTTGGCTTAAGGTTCCTACTTATCATTACTCCTAAATCTCTCTCGCAGTCGGATTTCTCTATGGCATTGTTGTTCATCTGGTATCTGGTTTCCCTGTTTACATCTTACTGAGTTTTACATTTGTCCACGTTGAATTTCATCTGCCATTTTTCAGACCATTCGAAAATTTGTTTAGATCTTCCTGTAGTTTTGCCGAGTCCTCGTCAGATTTAATAACACGTCCTATTTTAGTGTCATCAGCAAATTTACTTATGTTGCTGTCTATGCCGATATCTATGTCGTTTATGTATATAATAAATAATAATGGTCCAAGTACTGAGCCTTGGGGAACTCCACTTGTGACGTTGCTCCAATGGGACTTAGTGCCGTTAATGCTCACTCGCTGTTTCCTGTCCTGTAACCACGCCCTAATCCATTTAAGGATGTCACCTTTGATGCCATGAGCTTCTACCTTTCTAATTAGTCTTTCGTGGGGGACTCTGTCGAAGGCTTTGCTAAAGTCGAGATATACCACATCATAATTGTGCCCCTCGTCCACCGATTCGAAAACTGATGAAAAGAATGTTAATAGATTAGTTAGGCAAGAACGTCCGCTTGTGAAGCCATGCTGGGAATCATTGATCAATCGGTGCTTCTCCAGGTGATTTCGAATAGAGTTTGAAATGATTGCTTCCAGTAATTTGCCTACTATTGATGTTAGACTGATTGGGTGGTAGTTAGAGGATAGTGATCTATCCCCCTTCTTGAAAATCGGTATTACATTCGCTATCCTCCAGGATTCTGGTACTACACCTGTTTTTAAGGACATGTTAAACAACTTGCTAAGGGCATACTAAGCTCTTCCTTACATTCCTTTAATACTCTGGCAAATATCTCATCGGGACCAGGTGACTTATTAGGCTTTAGTTTGTCTATTTGCTTACTAACATCGTTACTAGTCACTACTATCTCACTTAATTTGTTTTCTTCACTATCTCTGAATAGGGTCGGTGCCTCGGGTATCATGTTTAAAGTTTCGGTGGTGAAAACTGTTGAAAAATATTTATTCAAATTATTGCTCATTTCTGGAGTCTGACCGTATTGGTCCAATCTTTTCTCGTGTTTTAGTTTGATACATTTGGTAGAATCCTTTGGGGTTTGTCTTCGCCTCCCTTGCTATCCTTACCTCATTATTCCTCTTTGCTTTCCTTATCTCGGTTTTAACCCTACTCGCCAATACCCTATAATAGTCCCGGAGGTGAATTTCGCCATGATTTATCCTTCTACCTATAGCCTTCCTTTGGCCAGTGATGTTCTTTAAATAATTATTTATCCATTTAGGGTCATTGTTGTCTTATCCGAGTTTTTTGTATGGTATGTTCTGCCTTTGTGCATTAAGTAACTTACTATTTAAATTGTCGTGGAACTCGGCAATCTCAGATCTCGTTATCAGGTCGGTGTCATCTGTCAGGTTCACGGCCATGCGCGACACCCCCTCTCTCAGCTGCCTCTTTAAACTGTCAAAGTTTGCCCTTCTGAAATCTGGTACTTTAGTGTAATTTTCCTTACGTGTGCCCTGAAAATCTAACTGGAATCGAGTTTCTTTGTGATCGCTGCTTGCAAGTTCGTTCCCTACCTCGACATTGCTAAGGAGGTTTTCTCTGTTCGACAGAACTAAATCGAGTATAGTTTTTCCCCGTGTGGGTTCGGTTATATGTTGACTTAGGAAACAGTCCTGGATCGTCTCGAGAAAATCCTCTGATTCTGAGTTACCCGTAAGGTCAGTCCAATCTATTTGGCCAAGGTTAAAGTCGCCTACTTTACAGACTTTGTTGTGTATGGAAGCCCTGCGCATTTCATCCCAGATAAGTCGCTCATTGACGCTATCAAGATTGGGGGGTCTATATATTACTCCTGTGATTAATTTTTCCCGACCGTCGCTTAATTCTATCCAAATTGTTTCTGTTTTCCTCTCAGTTTTTATTTCCTTATTTATTTCACACTTCAGATTATCCCTAATATAGATTGCTACTCCGCCTCCTTTCCTGGTCTGCCTATCGGTATGGAACAGTTTGTAACCCACAATTTGGTATTCGACTGGTAACTCACGTGTGTCTAGGTTGATCCATGTTTCAGTGAATGCAATTATATCGATTTTTTCGGTACATACAAAGGCCCTAATATCATCCATTTTGTTTCTCATACTTCTACTGTTCGCGTAGTATACATTTAAGTTAGTCGTGTTCTGAGTCCTCCCCTTACCGTGTTTAGTTTTAAACTCCCTGTCTAATTTAGTTTTGTCATCATTCCTAAGACTATTTCCCTGTAATCTTTCACTTTGTTTACCCGCTCCCACTGCAGTCTCCTCCACCCCCGTGCTCATATGTTCTCCTAGCAGTTTAAAGACTTCGATATCTTTTGAACTGCCCCCCTCTAGAGCCCCAGCCAGGGTTGCTACTCCATCCCTAGACAGGTGCACCCCATCCCTAGCATAAAGGTCCCTTCTGCCATAGAAGTTGTCCCAGTTGTCAATGAATGGGACTGATATTGACTTGCAGTATCTGTCAAAACGGTCGTTGACACCAACTGCCCTTGACAACCATTCACTGCCAACTCTCCTTCTAGGCAGGACACCGCATATGATAAGGATCCCTCCCTTAGTCCTAATACGATCCATAGCTGCCTTGAACTTATCAAGAAGCTCCTCGCTCCTACACCGGCCAATATCATTGCCTCCTGCACTGAGGCAGACAATGGGTTTGTTCCCATTACCAGACAAGATATTGTCCATCCTGTCAATTATATCCCCCACCCCAGCTCCTGGGAAACACACCCTCATCCTATTTTTGTTTTTACCACAAAAGGCCCTGTCCATGTACCTTACCTGTGAGTCACCAACAATTAAAGTTTTTATACCTTCCTTGTCATCCCTGTCCCTGACTGTACTAACGTCCAATTCGTTTATCAAGGGACTGAACTGGTTGGTACACTTAGCTGTTGTTGTCGTATCCTTGGTGTACTTCTTCACCACCAGCTTCGTCTTCCCACTACTCACAACTTTCCACTCGCTTGAGTTTTCGTCAGATACTGGCTTTACTCATCCAGCCTCTCCTTTTAATTTCGCTAGCTCTTTCTTTAATTTCAGGTTCTCCAACGTGGCCCTCTCAATTTCTAACTTGGCCCTCGCCAATTCTTCAATGGACCACTCCAGTTTGGTCAACAAACTCTCATACCCAAGATCGCACATAGCACTGGCCATATCTGATAATTATCCCTCCAGAGCTAACCCTGCCGTGACCTTAGTGAGGTCAGAACACAATGAAGGTATGTAATCATAAACTATGAAGTCACAATAGCGTGATGGTGTAACCTACACATGTTGCATTAATTCACATTTAATACAAATAATTATTGATGATGGGAAATTAAAGTGATACAATTAATATTTATTGAGGGTCCATCAGGACCTCTAAAATTTTATATATATGTAATATTCAGAAATTTGTGGAAGACAGAAGATTGAAGTATATATATAGATAAATTAACATGAGTAAATAGACTTACAAATATGTATGTAAGAATGTGTTTTTGCTTTCTCAAAATATTCATATTTTAGATAATTATAGAAGCATTTATTTAAAGAAATTTTCTAAGCAAGTAGTATATTTTTTTTAGGAATATTGTAATGTGTTATTGTAAATAATTTTTGTGGTGGTTGACCTTGTGGAGGGTAACTAATGCACATATATATATATATATATATATATATGTTTCTTCTGCCTCATTGATTTATACAGGGTACTTATTAGTGCAGTACATTTTTTGCATGCTCAGTCTGACTGTATGTAATGCGCACATAAGGTCTGGTCTCTATTCTCTCTTGAAATGTATAATACAACTGCATAACCAACAAAATCATATATCTATGATTATCTAAGTTTTCTATGGTGTATTTTCACAGAAAATGGGAAAAGTTTCGTAACGGTAACTCATGTACAGTATGATGTTACTTTTATTTAATTTTCGCCACATATCAGCTTGTGCGAATTATTCTTGTGTCTTAAGTCTGTATATAGACAGTATTGAGGGGGAATTCAAGGTACCTATATGATGGATGGGACAACTCAATTGGTACTTCATAGTGTGAGACAGATAGACAGACACAGATTGACGAACTAAAATGAGTGTCTATTATTGTGGAAATTGTGAATTAATGTAACATGTGTGGGGTACACCAACACGGAGTACACCATAATTGCGTTCATAGACAGTGTATGTGCACAATGAACTGTACACACAGCAGTGCATTCCCAGTACTTGCCAAGGTTACAGTCCAACTCGGACCACTTAGGTTAACAAACTCGGACTAAGAAGTAAATGTAAAAGTTTACACATTTTTGCATGAATGATAAAAGTACAATAATAAAAAGCAGTATAGATTATAAGGGGGGAATTGATTTGTTATTATTTATCTTTTCATTCTATGTTATTAATATATTAATGTACATATGTGGAAGATGTGATTTTTTCTTTTTTATATAATTTTATATATAGTTCGCAATTAAGATCACCTTACCTTCAGACCTGACATTGACACCCACACAAAATATGACGGTTGAGGATGACCTGATCACGAGATCTGAGGTTGACATTCCACAACGATTGTAAGAGGGCACTTTTCTCTTTATCCTATTTTATACATTTAATCTCTTTTTTGCTTTCTTATTTATATACTTATATTCTTGCTTCATATCTATATTTTCTATAAATCTTTTCTTGTATATATATATATATATATATATATATATATATATATATATATATATATATATATATATATATATATATATATATATATATATATTCTGAGTCTGTATCTCAGTAAGTAATTATCTATCTTATATTTCTTTGCTTATAGTTTCTAAGTCAATATTCAGTGGTAGCCTGCCACCACCCAGACTTTTATTAGAATATAGTATATCTTAGTGAACTGTTAGGTAGCGTGCTAGCGAGCTTCTAGACACGTGATTTACAATAGTTATTTTCTGAGAACCAATGGGTAGAAGGAATAAGCGGTGATACTCGTTGTTTACTAATTCAGTATTTATTAACATGGGGTACACTGTCGAAAGTCTTGGCAAAATCTAGGTAAGTATTGTCGATATTACCACCCCGTTCCAGAATATGGGTCCAAATATCCAATACCTTGAGCAATTGTGTTAAGCAGGAGCGCCCCGGCATAAAACCGTGTTGGCAATCCTTTACAAGTTTGTTTCGTATTAGATGTTCCATTGCGGCATCTCTGATAATACTCTCAAGTACTTTACATATTATGCTGGTCAGGCTCACCGGTCTATAGTTGTTCGTGGAGTGATCATCGCCCTTCTTGAAGATAAGACTCACATAAGTCACTTTCCATTCACTGGGGACCATTTGTTCATCTAGGCATTTACAAAACAGGATCTTCAGGGGCTCGGCAAGCTCGTTGCACAACTCTCTTAGCACTCTAGGATGCACCATGTCAGGGCCGGGACTCTTATGGACCTTTAGCCTGGACAGTTTATTTCTAATACCCTCTTATGTGAACGCAATGTGGGTCAGTGCCGTGTCGAACCGTCTGTCCTCAAACGCAGGGAGGTTAATTGCATCCTCTCTTGTGAACACAGAGGAAAAGAAGCTGTTCAATGCCTCAGCTTTATCCTGGTCAGAATCTGCGTAACTACCATCCTCAAGCCTCAGGTCTGATACTCCTACTCGCGTTTTCAATTTCGACTTTGCATATCGGTAAAACGCCTTTGGGTTTGACTTGACTTCGTTTGCAACCAGCCTCTGGAACTCCTTTTCAGCCCTTCTACACTCTATCTCTGCTTGGTTTTTGGCTCTTGCAGACATCCTCCTGAATTGCTCATCGTTTGACCCAACCCACGTCTTGAATTTCTGGGTTTTCTTCTTAATTCTGTCGACCGCCGCATGGTTCATGTGTAGGGATCCCCTCGTATTCCTAGAAGCACTGGGTTTGGTCTTGGGTATATATTAATCGATCAAATGGGTCACTTTACTAGTTATGATATTCAGCGTAGTGTCTGCGTTCTTGTACCTTAATGAGTCAGGCCAGTTGATACCTCTCATCTCTTCCCTCATCCCATTGTAATTTCCCTTGTAATATTTGCACCTTGGCCTGGCCTTATCCTGAACTAGGTAACAGGTAATCTGAATGGCAACACTATGTGGTGACTGGTGCCAACTGGGGCAAGGTGTTCCAGTTTGACCACCATTCCCTCCTCGTTTGTTATGATGAGGTTAAGTGGCTTAGGTGTTTGCTCCCTTCTGTAATGTGTCGGGTCTCTAACATGTTGGAACAGAAAATTATCTCAGAGCATCTACAAAAAGAGTAGCAGGGTTATTCAAGTCATTTGGGGTGGACTCGTTTCTCCAGTCGATGTCGCCATAGTTAAAGTCCCCCATGATAAGGAGGTGGCTAGGGTTGAGTATTGCCGCATTGTCTATTAAGACTCTTAAGTTTCTTTGATTTAGTGGGCCACAGTTTGGGGATCTGTAGATACACCCGACGATAAGTAAGTCCCCTCCCTTTAATTTAATTTTACACCACTTGGACTCTTCAAAAACATCCTCTCCCCGTACCCTCGCCTGGCTGGCTCTAAGGTCTTGCCTAGCATAGATAACCACACCCCTCTTGCAAGTTTCTTGAGAAAGGTTAGTAAATGAGTCATATCCAGGTGTATAAGCATCTCAGGGGGTACTATTCAGTCGAGTGTCCTTACTTGGAGCTGGCGGACGCTCGCCCCACAAGGGGACACAGTTCAAGATTGAAGAAGCCGCAAGTCCAGAAAACTGTGAGGGCAAACTTTTTCGGAGTGAGGGTTATAAACTCTTGGAACAATCTACCAGAAAGTGTTGTGACGACACCGAGTGTGAGCTCTTTCAAGACAAGACTTGACCAACACTGGAGCGGGTTCAGGTACATTCAGGAGCCGGTGCATGCCCAGTACTTGCTAACAGTGCATGACAGAGACGTGACCGATCGCCCGGGCGGCTAGCGAGCCGATCTTTTGGTGAAGAGGATAAATGAAAAGGAAAAGTAATTAGAGACGTGACCAATCGCCCAAGCGGCTAACGAGCCGATCAGTGGTGAAGAGGATAAAAGTAAAAGTAAAAGTAAATCACCAGTTCCCGATGAGATATTTGCCAGAGCATTGAAGGAATGTAACGCTTAGTTTGCCATTAGCAAATTTGTTTAACATGTCATTAAAAACGGGTGTAGTACCAGAATCCTGGAGGATAGCGATTGCGATACCGATTTTCAAGAAGGGAGATAGATCACTATCCTCTAACTACTGTCCAATCAGTTTAACGTCAATTGTAGGCAAATTGCTGGAAGCAATAACTTCAAACCCTATTCGAAATCACCTGGAGAAGCACAATTTACGAATGTGAATCGTGGTTCATTGATCAAGTTCTACTAACATAAACTCATAAAATTCGCCCTTCATACCGACTGAACCCTCGGTGTTCACTCATTCACATTCTTCGTATTTCAGTGAACCAAAGGAAACATAAAACATACCAAACTCATTCCTGAACCTCTCGTCAGCTACTTGTTTGAAGCGTGCAAGGTGGGCCGAGTTAGTAATGTGTGGGCCGAGTTGGAGGTGTACCCTTGCCAACAGTGCGTGCGTAACAGAGACGTGACCGATCGCCCAAGCGGCTAACGAGCCGATCAGTGGTGTAAGGGATAAACGTAAAAGTAAAAAGTTAAAGCAGTATTGTACTCAGGCGTTTTTGTATAGAAAGAAATAATCACTATTGACCTCAGAATATATCTTAATGTCAAGTGCACATGGCTTTAAAATGGCCTCAAAATGCCCATAATATTGGTCAGATTTCAAAAAAACTTCTGGACCAAACCCCAGCTGGTGTTTATGTTTCCTTACCCACGATTTCTTGGACCCCCCTCTTGATATATCTGAATCCGCCCCTGAGTGTTGGTCAAGTCTGGTCTTGAAATTTAAACAATCGGTGCCGTCACAACACTCTCTGGCAGGTTGTTCCACGAGTTCACAATTCTCGCTAAAAAAAAGTTTACCCTTGGAGTTTTCTAGGCTTGTGGCTTCTGTAACCTTGAGTTTGGCCCAAATTTAATTGGCTCCACAGCATGCAACAGTAGTCTACATTCCCGTTTTACTTCATCTTTAGGCTATTACTGTAGTATGCTACTGTAGTGGATACCTCCCCTACAAACGCTGTTTGTCGCTGAGTAGCCGACCCTGCGAATTCCCCAGTGTATGCCTCGTGGTCTAAGTCAACCAGCGCCGCCTTACATGACGGAGGTCAACTATTAAGCCACGCCTACCTCCGCTATTTAAGACCTGACCTCGTGGTGACCTGTCTCTTTCTACCTACACCAACCAGCCAGCAACACCTCCTCCTCCTCCGCCGCCTGGTGGTCCTCGCTCCCGCCGGCGAGCATGGCGACCCACAAGCTGGTCCTCCTCTGAGCACCCTCACCAACCAGCTCTCTCTACATCACGCTTGTAACCATGCTGCCTTCCCAGCACCAAGTTGCATTGTACATCCAATACAACATGTATATAGAGAGCACGTTGTGAGTTTCCTTTCTCCATTCCATCCTGAGTGTGAACCAAACATCCTAAAAACCCCACAAGCGCTTGGGAACATCGTGTTTTCTTTTTCCCTTGTGGTCATCAGCATATACCTGGATCACGCGTACCTACAGTGATTTACTTGCATATATATATATATATATATATATATATATATATATATATATATATATATATATATATATTTTTTAGTTTATTCAAGACATCTTCAGAGGCAACTAAAGATGTCTTGAATAAAGACGAAAGCTAAGGTGCTTTTGTTTTTCGTGATTTTATCAAGATTTATCTTATCCACGTTTTCATTGTGATATATATATATATATATATATATATATATATATATATATATATATATATATATATATATATATATATATATATATATATACACATGTATAATATTGGAAAATATGTGGGATTTTATACATTACTTGTGGGAACTTTGGAGAAAAGACAAATCGCTCATTTGTGGGAGTGGCCGAGATCGAAGTGACATTGGCAACACTGAAGGGTGCGGCAGCACTGGCTGTCTCTTTGATCGCTGGTAGGGTGTTGTGGCACATCCGCCAGGTCTAGGGAATTTTTTTTTTATTTTTTTTTTCGGAAAAAAATTACCCCTAGAGGGAAAAAGGGAAGAAATTTAAACAATGCTATAAAACTATGGGAAAATGGCAATGAAGCATTTGCATGCACCTTCAAAAAAGGAATAAAACTAAAATTCGCAGTGGCGGATCCTGACCGTCTTACACCGTTTCCTGAAGTCAGTTAGAATTTGAGAGTAAAAAGGTTTCAGACTTATTGTAATCAATAATAACCGCGCGCCAAATCTCAGTTGACTAATGTTGCGCATTAGTGACCTGACTGTGTGGGAAGTATGCTGTGTGAAGGAAGTATGCTGTGCGTGGGAAGGATGCTGTCTGTGGGAGGGAAGCTATGTGTGGGTAGGATGCTGTGTGGAGGAAGCATGCTGTGTGAAGGAAGTATGCTGTATGGAGGAAGTATGCTGTGTGGAAGAAGTATGCTGTGTGTGGGAAGGATGCTGTGTGTGGGAAGGATGCTGTGTGGAGGAAGTATGCTGTGTGGAGGAAGTATGCTGTATGGAGGAAGTATGCTGTGTGGAAGAAGTATGCTGTGTGTGGGAAGGATGCTGTGTGGAGGAAGTATGCTGTGTGGAGGATGTAATGAGGGCACATTAATGAATATATATATATATATATATATATATATATATATATATATATATATATATATATATATATATATGACTCGGACACAAACATGAAATGGATACACTTCCCACCGTAAGTAACTCACCCTTGGATCGCTCTGACAATGACTCACGTGTGACCTGAGGGAGGCCCAGCAGCTGGGGAATGTCTGCAGATGCTGCTGAAGAGAGTGGTGCTGGGACTCTGTCTCCTGTGGGAGACTCTGCTAGCTGGAGAAATGAGAAGCATGAAAAGGAAGATAACTCACTAATGTTTACATTACTTGGAAACTTTATAAAGAAACTGGTGTGCCTGCCTCACTCCAGTGCCACTGTGGATCGAGTATTTTCTCAAAATAATCAAATGAAAACAAAAGTGAGAAATCAGTTGAGTGTGTAGTGGACGTCTCCCCTACAACTGCTTACAACTGCGTAGCCACGCCACCACCTGTTACCGTCTTCCCTAGCAACCAAGCCTATCTGCATTCCAATGCCGCCGTATCCTAGCAACCGAGCCAAAAGACCGGCGACTTCTCGGGTTTTCCCAACATGACTCATAGCGGCTGCTGGGTATATAAGCTCTGTCTCTCCATTGAGATTCATTCTGACCATTCTTCTTGTACTAGCAACACCTCCTCCGCCGCTGCCTGGCTGCCTTAGCTCCTCCTCGCCTGCCTGGTGGTCCTCGCTCCCGCCAGCGAGCATGGCGACCCACCAGCTGCCCTTCTCTGAGCTTCCTCACCAACCAACTTTCATTCTGGACCATCTTCCTGAACACGCAACACCTCCTCCCAGCAAGCTCCACGCTGTCCAGCATTCATTCAACCAGGAGGCCAGCAACAGGCAACATCTTCCCTAACGAAGCTCCTGCACATCTACCTCCTTCAACACGCTACTCACCGAACGTCTTCTACTGAGCAGCCCCACCACACGGCACCTCCAGCACCAGACTGTCTTTCATATAACTTATATATTATACAAGAAAACCACATTAGAGTTTCCTTCCATCCTGAGTGCTAGACAACATTAATATCTCGATACCCCTACAAGTGCATCTACCCTGAATGGGATGCGTCATGCAAAAATGACTTTTTTAAACTACTTCCTGCTACCAAGACCCCAAGCATTAAATGACATGCTTGACGTTGTACACTCCTCCATATAAATGTTTGCCGATGACGTTAAGTTATTTCGGGAAATTAAGAACCAAGCTGACTGTGAAGAGCTGCAGAAGGATCTCTGTGGGCTCCAGGAATGGTCGAAGGAATGGCTGCTGAGATTCAATGTCACGAAGTGTAAGAGGATGCACCTGGGGCGTACCAACGGTAAGGAGGCTTATCATATGTCCCAACGGGATGAAGAAACTGCACTAGTTGAGACTGAATGTGAGAAGGACCTAGGTGTGTATGTTGACAATGAGCTGAAGTTCTCGGGCCATTGCGAGAAGAAGGTAAACCAGGCAAATAAATTATTGGGTCTTATAAGAAGGTCGTTCAGATATCTAGACGGTCCGTCCCTCGTAACGATCTTCAAGAGTGAAGTGCTTCCCCATCTGGAGTACTGTCACCCCGTCTGGTCCTCGAGATATGCTAGAGACTGTCAGTTGGTTGAAAATGTTCAAAGGGGGCCATCAGACTGGTGCCTGCACTTCGGCACCTCAGCTACCCTGAGAGATTGGAGCGCCTGAACTTGCCTAGCTTATATTTCAGACGGGCAAAGGGTGACCTAGTTGAGGTGTATAAGCATCTCAGGGGGCACTACGCAGTCGAGTGTCCTTACTTGGAGCTGGCGGACGCTCGCCCTACAAGGGGTCACAGCTCAAGATTGAAGAAGCCGTAAGTCCAGAAAATTGTGAGGGCAAACTTTTTCGGGGTGAGGGTTGTAAACTCTTGGAAATATCTACCAGAGAGTGTTGTGACGGCACCGAGTGTGAGCTCTTTCAACATAAGACTTGACCAACACTGGAGCGGGTTCAGCTACATTCAGGAGCCGGTGCATGCCCAGTATTTGCCAACAGTGCGTGACAGAGACGTGACCGATCGCCCGGGCGGCTAGCAAGCCGATCAGTGGCGAAGAGGATAAAAGTGAGTATCTCCTCTTCAATTATCGCTAATTTTAATAGTTTGGACCTTCATATACTAGAATATATCCACAATTCTTTACAAAAAAAGTGTTACCAATAGTTTAATGCTAATTGTATAGACACCTAGGGAAATTTCATGTCAGAAAGACAAATTTTGAGGGTGCTGCTAGGGAAATTTAGCCGAGTAGACTTGGCACCACTGTTTGTGGTGTTGGCCTGGTTGGACACTTTAATTGCTTAACAAACAAGTCAACCAAAGACGATGACAAGAATCAAATTTAATATATGGACGCCACTGTTATTGATTTTCGGATTTGTGCAGTTATGTGGTGAGTAAAATATACAAGAAAGCAGTGCTAATCCTTGTTCATAACGTGGTTATTCGCCCTATCTTTGGATAAATAAGGATGGCGCAAAAGATTGCTAACTAACGTTTTGCCACCGGAAGTAGGCACCTCTACTGTGTTAGGTTTAAAAAACCTACAATAGGTTAATATTCTGTCGCTGCCATGCACGGAGCTTTAAGTTGATTCTTATAGGAAATAAAAAGGAAATACTGAAACAGATGGATTAACACCAGTAGTTGGTTTTCGTTATTTTTTTCTTCATGCTCTTTGGATGATAATAAAGGTAAATTTGCATAAGTGGGCCCCACTGCAATTAAATAACAAAACTCTGTTTTTCCTATAGTTTTTGGAGTTTTAACCGATTTTTACCTATACAGGGTATTTCAATCAGAAATCACTAGTTTTTGAGATACCGCCCCCCCCTTATCCCCAGTGTGAACTAGGGGTTTTGGGATGGGAGAAAACACCAAAAAACAGTGATCTCCAATTAAAATACAGGTCATAATAGTTGAAAACACCAAAAAACATCGGGATAGGTAAATATGCATATTACAGCAACCATGGAATTTGAAGAAAAAAAGTGGTAAAGATGTACATAACCGGTCCGACTAATTACCCAAATGTAGCCAAATGTAGCCGCAGTGAAGTCAAATGATGGTCCTACGTGAATAAATCGGACTGCTAATCACTTTCGACTAGTATTTGGTGTCAGAAAGTCACAAAAAATTGGAAAACTTAATTTAATCTGAGTTAATAGATCGCGTGCATGTACCGAGGGAGCGAGTAATTACCCAAATGTACCCAAATATAGCCAAATGTAGCCGCAATGAAGTCAAATGATGGTCGTACAAGCGTAATTCGAGCTGTGAATCACTTCTCGATTATTATTTGGTGTCATAGTAAAAAAAAATTGGTAAACTTAATTTAATCTGAGTTGTGTTGTGTTAGATTAGATTAGATTAGATTAGATTAGATTAGATTAGATTAGATTAGATTAGATTAGGTTAGGTTAGGTTAGGTTAGGTTAGGTTAGGTTAGGTTAGGTTAGGTTAGGTACATGCACTTGATCTATTAACTCAGATTAAATTAAGTTTACTAATTTTTTGTGACTTTGTGACACCAAATACTAGTCGAGAAGTGATTGGCAGTCCGGTTTATTCATCTAGGACCATTATTTGACTTCATTCCGGCTACATTTGGGTAATTAGTCGGACCCGTACATAACGGCTACCACCAGAAAGAATTGTCCGAATTGGTTGAAATTTTTTCTACACACTAATATCATGATATTAAACACAAAAATGGAAACTACAATGCATAGAACCTAATAGAACCTGACCTAACATACCCAAAAGTTGGGTATGTTAGGTCAGGTTCTTTGCATTATCGTGTTAATTTATGTGTTAAACAAAATACCCTAATATTGAGGTTATTTACATCAGCCATGGCGAGTTATCACATTTCTTTTAATATCACATACACTGTACAACTTTTTCTGATGGGTTTTGATGAGATTAGTTCAGATCTGGCCTTTGTTTTTTGTCTGAAATCACTCGTTTGTGATTTATCCCCCTCCTCCATAACAGTTCTATTGATTCTGTGTTCTGAATTCCCGGTACTCTGTGCTTGCTAACTTATACCATATAACAAAACTAAACCTTACTTAACAACCTAGCCGGGAGCTCTGCCCCCGGTCTCCCAGTGTTCCCTAGCAAGGGGGCTTTGCCCCCGGACCCCCCAACTCTATGTAAATACCCTAGATTCGTGCAGTTCACCTCCATGAGAATATAAATAGCTGTTAGAGTATATCTTACCTTACTCCGAGTCAGAGTCAGAGTCAGGGACCAGACTGCGTCGTGGGTTCCAATGTTCTCCAAAGTTTCCTTATTTTCAGAATGAAATAATACGATGAACTTCCAATAATCTAAATCTCACCCAGCACTTTATGGCTCCATGTAGCAACTGATTAAAAATGTCCCGCATCTTAGCACCCATGCCGAATATTGACCAACCAACCTAACCGAACCTTGCTAAACAACATGATATTTGCTACTGGTAGAGTATTAAAGGAATGTAAAGAAGAACTTAGGGTAAAGGCTTACAAAACAACTATCACTCGAAGTTTTGTTGATTTTCTTTTAGTTTTGCTAAACTTATTGTTTTGATGATTTTAAGTATATTAAAAGAAACGACAACTTTCTATTATAATTTCAAGTATTATTTATGAATTTTTCATTTAATCAATCCTACAATCTTAAATTCCTTGTTAGTGTGCAGGACATGAAAGATGAGGGAAATTACGGGGTAAAAACACGATGAACACTGATGTTATGGCGTTAAAATTACATTTCTAGGTGCATTTAAAACGCCAAAATCATTTTCTTACCATAAGTCAGTCCGGCTTCACAATTTCCCTCCCGCTGCCATTGCTCCTTCCTTTCCAACTGTATAAATTGTGTTTTGTTGTTCCTGATCCTTTTAATAAAATAATTATGCATCTTTAATAAGTTTAGAATTACATATATACTGGTGTATTCTTATTTAGTTTATGCATTCTCTGTTCTCTTTATATCATCTATACTATTTTCTCAATTTTTTTATTGTCAAGCAATAAATGATGTAACTGTGCCATACTTATACTTTTACACAATCTTTTTGACTCATTCCAATTCTCTTGTCATCGTATTTTATACCGTTACCATTCGTCACAATTCTCATGAACTGTGTCTCCTCGCACTTATATGGTTCCCCCAAGGGGAGGGTACATCAAATGTTGCAGCGTCTCGTCTACATCATGGTGACCAGCGTTGGTTGTGATTATTCTTATTTAAGATTTTTTCCTTCGTGACAATAGTTAGGTAGGGTGTTCTAGGTTATTTTGCTTACTTTGGTAGCCCAATAATATTAAGGTAAGTTGTTTGTTTCGGATTAATTTTGTTCGTGACAATCGTAAGGTAGGGTTCCTAGGTTATTTTGCTTACTTTTGTTGGTTAGGGGGGTTAGTTTGGATGGGTTTACATCTACCATCAAAAATAAATGTGCGATTTGGTTAAAAAAAATTTGTACACTTAGCTTAATATTAAACACCTAAGTGAACACGATAATGCATAGAACCTCCTAGAACCTGATCCAATAAGTTGGATTTTTAGGTCAGGTTCTAGTAGGTTCTATGCATTGTCGTTTCCATTTCTGTGTTTAATATCATGCTAATAGTGGGTACAAAAAATTTAAACCAAATCGCACATTTCCTTCTGGTGATAGCTGTTTTGAACATAAGAATGGAGGAAACCGCAGCGGGCCTATTGACCCATACTGGACAGTCCTATTTACACCCAACCCCTATTGCTCATACTGTATATCCATCCAACCTATGTCTGAAGCTAGCCAGAGTTTTCAAGTTAATGATGATGTTTGGTAACTTGTCCCACTCGTCCACTACTATAGTGTCTTGCGCTTGTGAATACCTCACTTGGATTATGCAGTTCAGTTTGGGCCACCATACTATAGAATGGATATCGTATCCCTAGAAAGCATACAGAGGAGGATGACAAGACTAATCCTGGGCATTAGGAACTTTGAATATAGAGTCAGATTAAAGCATCTGAATCTGCACTCCTTCGAGAAACGCTGAGTGAGCGGTGATGTGATTGGGGTGTGTAAATTGAAGTCAGAGTTACACAAAGGTGATATAACAAAGGTTTTTAAATTATCCAACCAGGAGCGAACTCGTAGCAATGGTTTTAAAATAGAAAAATTTAGATTTAGGCACCTGATAGGTAAATATTCATTTGGAAATAGAGTAGTGGATGAGTGGAACACGTTACCAAACGTCATCATTAAATTGAGCACACTGGATAGCTTCAAATATAGTTTGGACGGATATATGAACAATAGGGGTTGGGTGTAAACAGGACTGCCCAGTATGGGCAAAGAGGCCCACTGCAGTTTCCTCCATTCCTATGTTCTTATGTTCATAATGTTTGTTTATGTGTACCTGTATTTGTTTTCTTCATTCTTTTCTGCATTCTTTTTTGCAGAGTGTGATGTTGGCGATGATTGCACAGGTGGTGGTGGTTTCTCCTGTAGCTTCAGAGAGAAATGTGTTGATGGTAACTGTCTTTGTAAAGAAAAATTGGATTTGGAATATAATAAGGATACCCTCACTCCAAGTTGCAATGTGAAGTTTGGTTTTAGTAAGTATTATACTGTACTGTACAGTAATACTCTATATTGTACTGTATAAAGTTAATGTATGTTGTATTCTTTTTTTTTTATTGAAATGTTTGTGTCTGGTGAAGTTATGTTATTGAGAGAGAGAGAGAGAGAGAGAGAGAGAGAGAGAGAGAGAGAGAGAGACTTCTTTACCTTTGGTAAAGTTATGCTATAGAATATTTCATGCAAGTTGTTTAAGGTATTAGTATTTTTTAATATAAAATCAAAAGGCCTTGCACAGTTGCATTTTTTTTCAAGCACCAATCATCACTTTTTGCCAGTGAGAGTTAGTATGCACTTAGAGAATGGTAGGACACTTAGGTAGTGACATGGTCTGGTGAACACAAGGAGAAGAGGTGTGGTGTGAGTTAAAGTCAGGTATTGTTACCTGGTGATTTGTCAGGCCTGTAACTTTTGTGCACAGCTGTGCTCAGGTGGTAGTGTGAGACAAAGTCTGGTAATAATCGCCAGGGATTTGTTAAGTCTCTTATTTAGGTGGTACAGATGGTTGGTGGTGCATATGGTTGGTGATGCAAATGGTTGATGATGTAGATAGTTAGTGGTACAGATGCTTGGGGTGCAAATGGTTGATGGTGTAGACAGTTAGTGGTACAGATGGTTGGTGTTGCAAATGGTTGATGGTGTAGATAGTGGTACAGGTGGTTGGTGGTGTAGATAGTTAGTGGTATAGATGGTTGGTGGCGCAAATGATTTTTTTCTTATGGGTAAATATTCATGAAAAATCCCAATTCACTCATCATAATTTATATTTGATCCTCAGGCCTCTACAGGAAGCTCCTACAGTTAATCCTGCAAAATAAAAGAAACTTTAAAATCTGTCCCTGTGGTTGATTTCAGACGCAGGCCTAATCACCTCGTCACCACCTGTTCGTTAGTCTCAGAATCCTTTCCTTGGTAAATAGATATCTGTGGCAGTTAAATTATTTTCAGTAACAAGTGGAACATCACTTACAGTAGCTCTCCTGAGTTACAATACTGTACGAGTATATAGATCAAAGGTCACCCTCAACACCTTAGGCTAATAAGCCAGCAGCTTAATGAAAAAAGTCTTTGGAGTTATGCTGTGCCAACTTTGAACCAATAGTAAACCAAACTGACAGGCAGTGTATATTTTATAACAAGTAAAATTAGAGAACTGTGTGGCTACAGCTTATTTTACATTACTCCTCGTCTTGTCTTAATATAAAGGAATATGCTTTAAAACTCATCTTCACTTGTAGTTGACAGAAACTTGAAGCCAGACAAAAATGGTAAGAACTAATGATGAGCAACAGAGTGGGAGTAAATCTGGTGACATTTTCTTTGGTCATGTGAAGCAGCAAATATAGTTTTCTTCAAGATTCATTAATGGCACCACCCATGTCATTCAGAAACTCTTGTCTTTTAGAATTTAGAGGTTCAAATGCATTCCTGTTTTTACCATAAAGAGATAATTTTGATAAAGAATGATTCACTCGGGAACCAAACTTTATGGAACTGAGCCTTATTCTCTTTCAAGAGTCTCCTTTACTGTCAGTGCAAAGAGGAATGGTTTTCTCTGTATCAGAATTGGCTCTGATCTTTTTTTTTTTTTTTTGGCTTTCTCCACCAGTTTTATCACATGGTGACTGTAGAAGCTCCCCTTGTCCAGCCAATGCAACCTGTGTTGATAATAAATGCAAATGTGACGAAGGTTTCTTGAAAATTAATGATGAATGCAAAAAGGGTAAGTTAACATAATTTCTTCTGTTCTCTGTATTGTACTGTACTGCATCATATTTATGTCTTATTTTGTGTATTAGTAATATTCCTTATCACTTATTTTACTATAATACATAATTAAGATGTGTAGTAAATTTCTTATATTGATATGTGTGTTACTTAAGTTGCAAAATGAGATTTGACAGTTATAGAATTAGATAATGAAAGTAGAATTAAATGAAAGGCCTTAAATATATTGAATTACAGGTATGTCACGGATTCAAAAATTAATTGAGGTGACAGCATTTCCCATTACCCTTAGGTTGCAGTGCAATGTTGTGGGATTAAGTGCTGTATCTTGAACAGTTCCAGGTAACATTAGTATAAAATAATGGTGCTTTAGATATCAAGGTGGTTAAAAGTACGAGCAAGGTGTAGATATTTACCTAAAGCAGAAGTTAAGGACCCTGTAGTTAGGTTATGTACAGAGATATTTGGCTGGAACAGATAAAGTTATATTTGCAAAGTACCTGTACCGTATAGTGATAATGAATGTGACATTGATACAGTTAATATGCCTTCACACACCCCAATTTTATTCTTTTGTTTCAGCGATTAGGGAACACTTTTCACAACACTCCATTTCTAGTTCAACATACATGTATGTGTTTTTGATCTGTCTTGGACAAAGTTTCTTTAAGCATTAAGGTGACAAGAGTGCTCTGTGGCTAAAAAGCAATAGAAATCTATTTTGTGAGAGATATAAAATAGAAGGAATTCATCATCATCAACATTTTATGGTCATTTTCCACTTTTGTATGGATTGACCGTGATTACCTAATGGCCGCTTATAACTACTACAGGTAGTTCTGCTATAACGCGATAATTGTGTTCTTGTAAAATATCGTGTTATAGAAAATCGCGTAATAGAAATAACAGGGCTTATGGAGAAAATAGGGTTAGGTGCAGATTACTCGAAATCGAAAAAATTTAGTAGTTAGCCTAACACAAAGGATAGCATAGTCTAAATAAATGTTACATTCATATCTAATATTGAAATCATACAGTAAATGTAACACTTTACTTGATGGGGGAGAAGGGTGATTTTGAGGTTGATAAAATCGAGCTTCTCTTCAAGTGTTATATCCTTTCTTTTACGATCATCACCGGGAATTCTATCACCAGAACGCTTCTTGTTGATATTCTTCTTTACTATATTCACAGTTAATACAGTGGGGTATGCTATAACGAACGGATCCTACTACGAATATTCCTATAACGAACGGTTTTACCTATAAAATTGAGAATGCTATAACGAACGAAACTCCTACAACGAACATAATTTATTTATTTTTTTTTCTAATTTATTGTTTTATTATTACAAATATTAATGATATTCTTTATTTCAGGGGTTTAGATGCATATTTATGCACTTTTTTACAATTTTTACAATTTTATATTATATTTTTCAGTGTTAAGTGGTTGTATTTGGGGGCCTGGAACGGATTAATCCTATAACAAACGAATGCTATAACGAACAAGGTTCTAGAACCAATTAGATTCGTTATAGCATACCCCACTGTACCACAAAATTGGAGAAATAGTAAGCAAAAATCGCGTTATAGCAAACAAGCGTTCGCGTTATACAAATATCGTTCCTAATTCATAAATCGCGTTAGAGCAAATTCGCGTTATCAAAACACGCGTTATAGCAGAACTCACTGTATTCTTAACTTGAATGTCATTTCTTACAACCTCTCCCCCTCTTCCCACCACATTTAGGCTCGTGCACCTCTTGACCCAATAGGCTTCATACATTCACTCCACGTGCCCAAACCATATCGGCCTTCCTCTATCAAAAATTTCCACACTACAGGTACTCTCAATGCCCAGTCACCATCTTAGCTCTGAACAGGTCCTCCTATCTGTCAGTGTCACATTCCCACATCCACCTCACCATTCTCTTTTCAGCTTGCTCAAGCCTGCTTATGTCATCCTCTTTAACTGCCCCTGCCATACATTACACTTCTCATGTCAGCTGCATAAATTCTTCCTTTCATGCAAAGGGAAGGTCCTCTTGCAGTCAATAAAAACAGTAAGTCATAATAGTCCAGCAAATGCCTGATATACTCATGTATAATCTGATTGCTGATTTCTTGTAAAAAGCCTGATTTTTTCATATACAGGTAGTTCTGCTATAACGCGATAATTGTGTTCTTGTAAAATATCGTGTTATAGAAAATCGCGTAATAGAAATAACAGGGCTTATGGAGAAAATAGGGTTAGGTGCAGATTACTCGAAATCGAAAAAATTTAGTAGTTAGCCTAACACAAAGGATAGCACAGTCTAAATAAATGTTACATTCATATCTAATAATGAAATCATACAGTAAATTTAACACTTTACCTTGAAAAAATATGAATGTAACTTGATGGGGGAGAAGGGTGATTTTGAGGTTGATAACATCGAGCTTCTCTTCAAGTGTTATATCCTTTCTTTTACGATAAACACCGGGAATTCTATCATCAGAACGCTTTTTGGAGATATTCTTCTTTACCATATTCACAGTTAATACCACAAAATTGGAGAAATAGTAAGCAAAAATCGCGTTATAGCAAACAAGCGTTCGCGTTATACAAATATTGTTCCGAATTCATAAATCGCGTTAGAGCAAATTCGCGTTATCAAAACACGCGTTATAGCAGAACTCACTGTACTGTACTGTACAGTATACTGTACTCTTAATTTAACGGAATCCGATACAACGAACTCTCGATTTAGCGGAAGGAATTTTTTCCGTTATTCTTTACTTGATTTAGTGAACTACTTCGCTAAATTGAGATTATGGAGACACCTCAGACACATGATATGTACATAGAAACATTATTCATAACCTTAAACTAGGGGGTTTGGTGTTTGTTTTCAATTCTTTCTATAATTTCCAAACTTTTTTCCATTTGATAGCTGCACTCTTTTGACTTTCTCCCCCACACCACTTCCTTTCTGAGACTTCTGAGAGAATTTCGGCATGATGTCTAAGCACAGTAGTTAGTTGACCAAGGTGTAGACTGTGAACAACACATGCGATGGTGGCAGGGCACAGACTGAGCGGATGTAAACAAACCCCACGCGCCAAGCATGCATTTGGTGCAGAATTTAACAGAATCATACTCGATTTAGCAGAAATTTAACTGAATCACTCATGATATAGTGAACTAGTTTGCTGAATCGAGCGAAAATAACGGAAATTCGATTTAGCGGAAATTTTGATGTAACGGAAAGGGTTGACTCGAATTGGTTTGTTAAATTGAAAAAATACTGTACCTAATGTATATTGTACTGTAATCTGACCCTAGCTTTTGAGGAATACAGTACAGTAAGCTCTTCTAAAGTGCAGGTTTTCATAGCAGTTTGAACCCAGCACCCTGAGGTGTAAATTGTTTATATTGGTTTACTTGTGTATGCAGTGACCCCTCGTTTAACAAACGCCTCGGTTAACGAAATTTCGGTTAACGAACTGCCTTCCGTAAGGATCTTCAATTCGGTTAACGAATTTCTTACGAACCGACCTCAACATGTTTTCTCTTGCACTGACCGGGCAACCAGCTTTAGTATCAGTCCACCAATACATTAATCGGTTCTAGGGCTTAAATTCCTTACTATTTTAGTAAATATCAAGAAGTTTATACTATTCAATAATTTTAAAAGTTTAATATTCAATTTTTTAGTCATTTTAACAATTATTGAACATAATTGAAGGTAAAGTGACTAGTTTAATGCGCGGCATCCAGCCTCTTAACACAGCAAACAGGCGTTAGTCTCTCTCTGTTTTCACTGGAGGTAACATCTTGCTTGAGACTCTCTTCAACTAAACGCTTTTTTTCTGTGTTTCCAAGCAAATTATTGGTCATTTTGAAATATATTTTACATATTGACAATATATAATGCAGTGCAGTGTTGATTTAAAGAAAATAATCTTGAATTACACCAAGAGAGCTAAAATTTTATGGGTGAAATGGCGCCATGGGGTGACTTCTCTTCCACCCCAATGCCTCTTCTTCTTCCTTCTCCTCCACCCCCATTCTAAATCCCATCATCATCATCATCATCATCCAGGAGCCTTCTACATACACACCTCAAAGTAAGTGAACTTTTCTACCATTTTTGTTGAATTTAGGAAATTTTCGGTGAGCTGGAACCAATTACCCAAAAACCCATTGAAACAATGGTTTCGGTTAACGAACGACCTTCTGGAACGGATTGAGTTCGTTAACCGAGGGGTCAATGTACTTTATTACAGGTTCTGATATATTGATAATCCCATAGTGCCAGGAATTTGATTAAAATCTTTCTGGGATCTGGGTATGGGCAGGCTACCCCAAAATTCTGAGGTCCACAGTGGTGAACGGGGAACATTGAACTTCAAGTGAGTAGTTAAGGTGGGGTAGCTTTGAAGCCTATCATGGTCCAAGGGACTAGTTACCTGACTACCAACCATGATGGCCCTGGATCGAAAATGGCACCCAGAGGTGTAAATTGTTTACATTGAATTACTTGTGTATATTACACTTATTACAGGTTCTGATATATGTGCATACAGGTGGTTCCCAACTTACGAATGCCCAACATACAAACGAGGTTAAACTTGAAATTTACAGTACAGCGATATCCCCGTTAGCCGGAACAATTGCTGCAAAGTACTTCTGGGAATGAGAGATTTCCGGGTAACGAGACGACTCTCTCAAAGCCGGAAAAAATCCCTCATCCCCGGAATTTTCCTGTTAACGGAAAAAATTTTCTCAGAAGTTCCAGAAATTGTCCATTACATCATCTCTCGAACCCGGAAAAATATCCTCATCCCCGGAATTTTCCTAGTAACGGAAAAATTGTCTCGGAATTTCCAGAAAATGCGCCTGATTTTCACATCTCAAACCCGTAAAAAACTCCTCCATCCCCAAAATTTTCCAGGTATTGGGAAAATTTTCTCGGAATTTTCTGTAAAATGTGCCTCTCGGAAATTCGCTCCCAAAGTCGGAAAATTCCGGCTTTGGGAACAATTTTCCAAGAAAATTTTAAAACTGGCTTTTGGAGAGTTCCGGGTTTGAGGGTTCCCGGCTAATGGAGATATTACTGTAGAGTAGTACCCCAATTTACACGGTCAATTGAACCCACGGGGTACCGCGGAAAGTGAAAACCGCGTAAAGTGAACAACAGAACATATGGGATTAATTCCAATAGAGACTGGCCCGACCCCCAAACTCCACTTTTTACGACACAATACCTATGTTGTAGTAAAAATTACATCTTAATTTTATGATGGAATGCTCACACAATTAATATTTAAGAGAAATACAGTCGCCAGATTAATGTCCATTCAAATAATGGACTCAAATCCCCCTCTTCCCTGCTCACTAGCTCCTACCTCTCTGAGAAATGTTTGGGTGAAAACACTAGATTTTAACGTTTAGTAATAAATAATACCTCAGACTAAAATTAGGATAATATAATTGACATTTCTGGATTCCTTGCAGGTCAGGGAATATTTTGAATGAAAACTTCATATATTTTGCATAAAAGATAAAATATTTGCTTGTGTAAACCAATTTATTACATTAGATCTAAAATTTGTATGTCTAATGCAAATTCCATGATGTTTATATTCAAAATGATCATCATATTTTAAGAATTCCAGCAATGCAAATTATATTCTGGCCGGGTAATTTGTATGAATTTTATGAGCTAAAACAAATATCTTCAGTAAATAAACAAAGAAATATTCTTCAAGGACACACTATCTGTCAATCAAAGTACCCCACCTTGCCTCCCCCCCTCCTCACACTCACGCCAGCTGGGTCGGTCCGGTCCCTACCCTCCCCCCACCCCCCACCTTCCCTCCCTACCAGAGAAATGTTTGGGTAGAAACACTAGATTTTAACGTTTAGTAATAAATAATTCCTCAGACTAAAGTTAGGATAATATAATTGACATTTCTGGATTCCTTGCAGGTCAGGGAATATTTTGAATGTAAACTTTATATATTTTGCGCAAACGATAAAATATTTGCTTTGTGTAAACCAAATTATTACATTAGATCTAAAATTTATATGTCTAATGCAAAATCCATGATGTTTATATTCAAAATGATCATCATATTGTAAGAATTCCAGCAATGTAAATTATATTCTGGCCAAGTAATTTGTATGAATTTTATGAGCTAAATAAAAATAAAAAAAATTATACTTCACGCGTATATGAGTAGATGCACCGCGGAAAGTGAAAGTCCGGCTTTGGCAAGGTACCGCGCAAATGAGAAATCGCGGAAAGTGAAACCGTGTAAAGCGGGGTAATACTGTACTGTACAGGTAATGATAATGAAGAAATGAGTGCCAACCAATAATGTAGTGCTGGCCCTACCAAGTGAAATCTGTGTATCTTGAGTTAGATACAAACTAAAGGCAAACTTGTTTGTCCAACAGACACCAAAGGAGAACGAACAGGTGACACTTCAGTAATATGATGCTCAAAATTATGGATCTTTCACAAGAAGTAGTCTGTATAACTAACCCCAGTGGTGAGGATAATATGTACTGTATTTTTGGTGTTTTTAATATAATTATTTATCGTTTTTTATACATTTTGTACATTTGCCGGAAGATTCAGACAATCGGCTTTTTCGGACAGGTCCCCCCTTTTAGCCCGGATCTTCGAGGGTTCACTACCTCCAAACACCGATAACATTTTTTGTGCGTAAGCTGAAAGTTGTGGATAATCTGCCCCCTTGGGTGTGTGGGCGACAGACAGGGTTTATGGTAATTTCAGAAGTGGGCCGCATTGAAAGGCTTTGAGGGCCGCATGTGGCCCTACGGTCGTTATTCTCTTTTGTTGGATCACCAATGGCTTTCGCCAGGCGAGATCTACTGGTGATCTGCTCTCCTACTGCACCCATCTTTGGTCATCCTCTCTTAGGGATTATGAGGAAACTTTCGTCGTGGCCCTCGACATCTCCAAAGCATTTGACAGAGTATGGCACAAGTCTTTGCTTTCTAAGCTTCCCTCTTATGGTTTCTCTCCCCCACTTTGTTTTCTATTCTCTAGTTTCCTTGAGAACCAATCCATGGCAGTTGTCGTCGAGGTATCGATCTCTTGCTCTTTCTCTACCAATAGTGGTGTCCCACAGGGTTCTGTTCTTTCACCTACTCTCTTCCTTCTTTTTATCAATGATTTTCTTCACACTATGACTAATTCTATCCATTCTTACGCTATGATTCTACTCTTCACTCTCAAACTAGATCTGTTTCTGGAGCTGATATCTTTACATCTATCAATGCGAATCTGTGCAGCATCTCCGGATGGGGAGGTAGAAACTTGGTTAAATTCAATAGTAATAAAACTCATTATTTACCAATTACACTTTCTAAATTAGATGATTTCCCACCAATCACATTTCAGGATGCTATCATACTGTCAAATTCTAAAATAGATATGCTAGGCCTCATCATTTCCTCTAATATGTCATGGAAGCCATACATCCTCAACATTGCTAAAGCTGCCTCCTGAAAGTTGGGAATGCTGTACAGATGCTGTAGCTACTTCACTCCTGAGCAGTTACTTCAAGTATATAAAGGATTCAATCGTCCTAACTTGGAGTACTACTCTCATATCTGGGGTGGCTCTTCTTCTGTCCAACTGTTAGATAGGGTGGAATCAAAGGCAATTTGTCTTATTAACTCTCCTCATTTAGTTGACAATCTTTCTTCCCTTTCTCTTCGCCACAATGTTGCTTCACTCTCTCTCTTTTACAGGTACTTCAACGGGCAATGTTCAGGGGATTTGGCATCCTGTGTACCACCGGTAAGGCCGTGGGTTCGTAACACACGTCTTGCCCGCGGTGCCCACCATTTCTCTGTGGATATCGGTCACACGAGAATAACCCGTTATAGTACCTCCTTCTTTCCTCACACAGCCAAACTGTGGAATGCTCTGCCTTCTTCTGTGTTTCCATGCTCTTACAATCTGTCTCACTTTAAAAAGCTGGTTTTCCGGCATCTTTGTGGTGTAGATTAATACAGTACAGTATAACCTTTTTTTCTATATTTTCAATTTCTTTTCGTTCTTTTTTTTCGCCCCCCAGGCTCCGTTGTGGGTCGTTTGACCTGTGCCCGGGTTGGCTAATTCCCGTAAAAACTCTTATCGGAGTATCGGTATCGGCACATCCAAAATTCCATAGTCCTGGTAACCTTCTTCATGGCAGTGCGTATACAGCCCATTGTAGGCTTGACCTTTTTGATTGCATAAGGAAGCAGTATGGCCACTATTGCATTTGACTGCCTTCACTTCTTCATGCATAAAGTTAGGCACCCATTCACAGTTGGGTGGACAGGTTTGCCCCAAGTGTAATCCAGAATCAGCGAGACAAAGTGAGCACTGTGGCTACCTCACCCTTCTAAGAAGGTAATGTACTATAAATATATCCAGTTGTAATCAATTAAATATCTGCCCTATTACTATCATATACATACTCATTTTCTTTGCAGGAAACCCACAAAAGGTTCTTGCAGCTTGCAATCCTAAATCATCAAATGGTGTTATAAACTCCTGTGATATAGAGGAATACAGCCTGTGTGAAAATGGCCTGTGCATATGCTTTGCGTAAGTAAAACTTCAGCTTTTGTGTGATTATTAAATATTTCATCAGAAAGTTTGTCTGAGATTATCTGACTCACCCTTATGCCTTCCTAGTAATATAGTGTACTGTATGGTGCTTATTAGAGGATTCCATTCCCCAGACAATCCCTTGTTATGTCAACCAGGTTCAGACATGCTCTGGTCACCTATTACAGATATATTAATCTTCTTTCCCACACTTTTGGCTCTAAATAAGGGGATATAGTGCAATGGTGGTTGATATGTACAGTATATAATAATAATGGAAGCCCCTCGAAATCAAGTTTGACCGGCCCAAGGGCCACCGAGGCGTGAATTTGTTTAAGGTGTAGAAGCTGTCACCAACACAACAACCACACCCTAAGTTAACGAGTTTCATGACCCAGTGTCAAGGAGCAGTCCGAGAAGACCGGACAACTCGCCAACTGAACTGGCTAACCATTACCCCGGATTACGATCTGCAAATCGATTAACATCCAGGTTCCCAATTACTGCTGGGTAGACAGAGGCAAATGGCGTAAAGAAACTTGCCCATAGTTTCATCCTGCCCGAGGATCGAACTCGGGTCTGCTCGCTTGTGAGGCGAGGACTGCTGACCATTACACCACAGGTTTGACCCAACAGAGCATGGAGTAGTTTGCTAGTAAAGCCAAGCTTTAGTACTTGTGTTTTATTAAGTTTGTTGATTTTTGAGGATTAGTACTCACCCCTGATGGGTTGCTTCTGATGGCCAGGCTTTTGATTAGAGAATAGACATGACCTGGTGAATGTTTTAAAACTGGACAACTCCCACTGGCTTTAAAAAGACCTGCACATTACAGTATCATTTTCAGTGTTTGGGGGAATATAACTTACTCATATTAGAATATAATGACTTAATCATTAGTATAACCTTCGGATGGTCTTTCAGCTAGACTGGATTGGTTGTCTTGGGTCAGTGAGTGCATTTTAAGCTGCATGCTACTAAAAGCAGTTCGGCCCTATTTTCTAACATGACACAGTGTGGATCACCTCTTGTTTTTCCAACTGCAGTAATTTCCCTTTCAAAGGCAGTCTCTTCCTTCCACTTGTCTCTGGCTTTGCACCACAGCCAGTGGAAGTGGAAGGGGTGGGTTCAGTGACATTGTCACTGGGCAAGGACATACATCTTGACTTCATCGTGACCAAGATATGATTGCATCATCAGCGGCATGGGTAGGAGGATTACCCAGTAGGACAACTGGCGAGTGTAAACATCCCATACTTGACCCCGCGAGATAAGAAATTTTTCGCACACTCCATTCAAAACGCTCTTAATTCCAGAATGTATGTCACAGTTATTGGTTTAATGCACAGATAAATTACCTTCACCTGACATAGGTCACTACTCCTGGTACTATACTACTGACAAGTGGCCCATTGACAGACCATCCTGGTTACCGTATATACTCCTGTGTAGTTCGAGTTTTTAAGACCAAATTTTTAGGCAAAAAATTGGGGGTGGACCTCTACATGGGTAATACAGTGGGGTATGCTATAACGAACGGATCCTACTACGAATATTCCTATAACGAACGGTTTTACCTATAAAATTGAGAATGCTATAACGAACGAAACTCCTACAACGAACATTATTTTAAAAAAAATATTTTTTTTTTTTTTACTAATTTATTGTTTTTTTATTACAAGAATTAATGATATTCTTTATTTCATGGGTTTAGATGCATATTTATGCACTTTTTTAAAATTTTTACAATTTTATATTATATTTTTCAGTGTTAAGCGGTTGTATTTGGGGGCCTGGAACGGATTAATCCTATAACGAACGAATGCTATAACGAACAAGGTTCTAGAACCAATTAGATTCGTTATAGCATACCCCACTGTAGTATGGTTAGGTTGAATCCGTGCATTATGGGAAGGGCGAGGAGCAACTTTTAGCTTTAGACAAGAAAAATATTTACCATTTACTGCCAGTAAACAATGGAAACGTAAAATATGTACCAATCAGTAATGAAAAGTTGTGCAGTGCCTTCAGCAGATGAAGCTCACCAACTTACAATAGGCTAAATTACCTTACAGCGTGCTTTCAGTAGTCTATGTTGAAGTTCTTAGCACAGGCTAACTTATCATATCATATACGGTATCACAGTACTCATTGATCTACAAAAAATACCGGAAATAAAAACCTTTTCGATATTTCACACTTAATATAATACCCGGTAATCCACCTCAACCTCGTATTGTTTACAACGATGCACAACGCACCACCAGCTGTTGAGTATCAGCTAGACGGTACACTTGTTTTTCGAATCGTTTTCAGTTAAAAAACTGTTACATCACACGTATATTTTATCTTAACTGCCTGAATGAATATATTCTCGGAAATAAATAGTAGTTTTAAGAACATAAGAACATAAGAAAGTGGGATACTGCAGGAGGCCAACTGGCCCATACAGGGCAGATCCCTTTCACACCCATCCCAGCACTTCCATGTGCCTATCCAACTTCGTCTTGAAGCTCCCTAGCGTCCCCGATCCTACTATAGCACTCGGTAGCCTATTCCACATATCCACAACTCTATTACCAAACCAGTGCTTGCCTATATCCTTTCTGAATCGGAATTTATCTAATTTAAAGCCATTTGTTCTAGTTATTTCGTTATTACTGAGCTTCAGAACATCTTCCATTTTACCCTTGTTAATCCCACTTACCCACTTGTACACCTCTATCATATCTCCCCTAACTCTACACCTCTCTAATGAATGTAAGCCTAAGCTTTTCAGTCTTTCTTCATATGGAAGGTTTCTAATATTATGGATCATTTTTGTCATTCTTCTTTGTACTCTCTCCAAAGAATCTATGTTCATTCTATAATAAGGACACCAGAACTGAACCGCATAATCCATGTGTGGCCTCACTAATGCTAGGTAAAGTTTCAAGATAACGTCAGCAGTTCTGTTACTCACAGACCTAGATATGAACCCAAGAATCCTGTTTGCCTTGTTTTGCTGAAACGTGATGTATTTCAATGTAAAATACGATAAAATACATGACGAAAACAAAAGACTTTACCTAACCTTCCGATGTTCAAGAGATGTTACTCCTTTTTATTAATAGTTTTCGGTTAAAATACTGTTATATTACAATGATATTCTATTAATACTGTGCTCGATATAATACATTCACGGAAATGTAATATTTTTGCTGAAATGAAGTACGTATTACAGTGGAAAGTGGGATAAAATCATGACGAAAACAATTGACCTTCGCTTTCTTTGGTTGTTCTAAAGATGTTACCGTAATTGCTTTTCAAATGGTTTTCAGTTAAAAAAACTGTTGTATTACAATAATATTCCATCCTAACTGACTTGAATAAATACTTGAATGGAAATATACAATATTTTTGCTGAAACTACCCGTGTTTCAGTGTAGTGTCATAATAATGGTAAACAATTTGCCTTCAGCGCTCGGTGTTTCAGGCACGGCGACGCTCAGTTTATAGGACATAGAGAGTTTTTAGTAAAGGTTTTGTTGTTCCATAACCATCAAAAACTTTTGGTCGACCTATAAACGAGGTAGAATTATAGACGAGTATATACAGTAAATATGTATGGTGAGATGGGGTCATATAGCATATAGCACCTGACAAATTCTCGCCTTGGTATCTTCCTTTCAAAATATTAGCTTGTCTGCTGGGCAAGTGCTGGGCACATGGGTGTGAAAAATCACTTGTCCAGCCACTAGTCTGGGCACTTCTGGGCTGCCAGGCACTGCTAATCAGCACAGCCTGCTGTGTATACAGTTCTGCCCACATATGCATATTATTCTGAAACACATCAGTAATTACTGATAACTAACTGGTTCCTTTTTTAAGACTAGAATGAATAGATAAATTTTTTATTTTTGTATTGATAGGTATGAAACTAATAATTGTCATATATAAGATTTGTCAGTTTGTAATCAACAGCATACATAACCATAAGAATCCATTGGTTAATTATGGACAATTTTAAATATTCTACAGCTCTGGTATTGTTATTAGATTATCTAATTGTTTGCTTACAGTGGATACTTTGCGAATACTACCAGTGGGAAATGTGAACGACAGTCTTCATACCTTAAGGCTTATGGCCTCACAGGTGAGCTAAAAATATTATTTATATTCTTATGTCTTTGGATGATGATACACTTACTTAGCATTCAAGTGTAAGATTTAATATTGAGTAAACTTAAATCCTAAATTTATTACAGTTTTGTACTATATATTATGTATACAGGTGTTGACCATTATACGATCACAAGGTGATCAAACATATATCAATATTAATAACTTATGGGAACCCTGAAGAGCCAGAGTTATCACTCAGAGTTGTTATTTTTCAACTTGTAATTTTTGGATAAACTTACAAAAAAATTATTATTTTTTTTACTCTGTTACATGCACACACAATCTTCCATACAAAATGTGAAACAAAATTACTATTATAAGGTACACTATCCACCACCACCACACACCACCCACCACCCACCACCACACACCACCCACCACACACCATCACCCCACACCACCCACCACCACACACACCACCCACCACCACACACCACCACCACCACCACACACACCCACACCACCCACCACACACACACCACCACACCACCCACCACCACCACCACACACCACCACCACCACCACACACCACCACCACCACCACCACCACCACCACCACCACCACCACCACACCACCACCACCACCACCACCACCACCACCACCACCACCACACCACCACCACCACCACCACCACCACCACCACCACCACCACCACCACCACCACACCACCACCACCACCACCACCACCACCACCACCACCACCACCACCACCACCACCACCACACACCACCACCACCACCACCACCACACCACCACCACCACCACACCACCACCACACACCAACATCACCACCACCACCACCACCACCACCACCACCCACCACCACCACCACCACCACCACCACCACCACCACCACCACCACCACCACCACCACCACCACACACCACACATCACCACCACCGCCACCACACACCACCCACCACCACCACCACCACACACACACCACCACACACCACCACACACACCACCACCACACCACCACACACCAACATCATCACCACCACCACCACCACCCACCACACACCACCACCCACCACACACCACCACACCACCACCACCCACCACCACCACACACCACCACACACCAACATCATCACCACCACACACCAACATCATCACCACCACCACCAACCACCACCACCACACTACTTCCACATTCCTGTGACTACCACCACTCCCATGACCACCACTACCTCACACCAATGACCACCACTACCTCACACCACCTACTACCACCACACTCCCATGACCACCAACCACCACCACCTACTACCACTACCACACTCCCATGACCACCAACCACCACTACTACCTCACACTACCCACTACCACCACACTCCCATGACCACCAACCACCACTACCTCACACCACCTACTACCACCACACTCCCATGACCACCAACCACCACCACCTACTACCACTACCACACTCCCATGACCACCAACCACCACTACTACCTCACACTACCCACTACCACCACACTCCCATGACCACCAACCACCACTACCCACCACCACACTCATGTGACCACCAACCACCACCAGCCACCAGTACCTCACACCACCCACCACCACTACCTCACACTACCGGTGTGAGGTGTACTCCTCAACCACATAAGCCAAACTCATTACACTGAACCCTTTTCATCGTGCTGGGGTGCGCCTGGTGACAGGTGCTTTCAGGTATTCAATCCCAAATCTACTAACTTATACTGATGAGCCACCCCTTGATCTTTAATGTTAGCATCTTGAGGTCCAGTTTGGGTTCTGTCTCCATGTAACAGTGTCATGCTATTTGGAGTAGATTGTGTCATGTTTAGAGAAATACAGAAAATTCAGCATAGACAAAGATTACCCATAGAACAACACAAGTTTCCTGCCAGGCATAAGCCAATCATAGTGGCCTGTGAGTGTGGTGGCATGGGCCTATCTGTGCTTATTGGCTGGAGGCTGAGTTCATGCCCCACCAAGGCCACCAAGAGGGGCACTCACTGTTCAAACCGACAGTCTGTGTTGGAATTTTGTGGGGAGAGGTGTGGGATGTCTGTGGTGGCGACATGTCAGGTATTAGGGTGTATTCTATTTGGTAAATCCTTAAATTCCCATTTGTTTTGAGATACATGGTCCCCGTTTAACGAGCTAGGAGCAAGTTTATTATTTTGAAGTTTGATTGTTAAAACCCAATAGAAAGTATTCAGTAAACGCAGTAACCGTTACTAAGAATCCTAATTCATCTCTCCCTTATTGAGAAAGGTTGATTTGTTATAAGTGTCTCCAGGGTCATAAAGTCTGTTTTTTTCTGAGTTCTAGTCCATGTGGGGGAGAAGGGGAATGAGCATGCTAATGCTGTGGCAATAGCAGCTGCTTCTTGCCCTGTTGCACATAATTCCCCTCTATCTGCCTCTGATATGAAGCCAGTAATAAGAGCTGCCATCTGCTTCTAGTATGAGTCGTCTTAGGAGCACTCAGAGAAAAACCACTTCCAGCACTAACCTTAATCTTGTTAGTGTTGGTTCAGATAGTACACACCGTTGTGGGGGTTAGACCAAGCACAGCGACTATGTCCACAGCACGTTCCCCTTTTTCAAATCGGGTTAATACATTCATTTTCGTAGCAAGGGTAATGGTCTTACGTTGCCTCTTCACTAGACTAGCATCAGTAGCACTTGATGGGCGCTTAGAAGCCATTTTGAATGGTTTTAGAGCAAAAGCAGCACTAAGCACACACAAATGATGTGAAGTCGTAACAGAGACTGGCTTGGCTTCGCTTGGGGACGCTGTGACGTTCCGCGAGTCAGGGCAGCGCGCCGTGCCGAGAAAGCGTAGGTTGGCCAGACAAGAGTGGGTAATTCGCTGTAGAAAGTAGTCCATGTCGACGCAAAATGACATAGTATCAGATCACCGGGACGTTAAAAGAATTTTTAGTCTCTAAAGTTCAGCAACGTAGTACTGAGACAACGTTAAACGGGACGACGTTAAGAGAGGACTTACTGTACAGGTACAAGAGTGGGGTGAGAGTCCCCCACACTTAATTTTCACACGTGCTTTCTCTGTCCCAACGAACTGCATTAATCTCTAAACCGCACGGGTCCGTACACACGGGGAAAAAAAATGCTTGTGTATGAAATGGGCCTTTCATTGGAGTATGTGAGCTGCGGCTATCCTGCCCAGTTTGAAATATTACTGTAGGGAATCGTAATACTGTATTTCATTTGTGAGTAAGCAGGGTATGCTTTGTGAATATCAAACGGATCTTAAAATATCTATTGCAGATAAGTAGGGTTGCTGATAGCGTGGTATTCCTGTATTGCAAGTTATTGCACATCACTTTTTCTAGCAGTGACAATGCAGCAAAAGCATTTGGGTAGCCATAGAGTAGCGACCATTGTAAATCTGATCTTAGCCATCGCATAGTGCCATTTGGTGTTAATTTCTTAATATTGTAAAACTAACTGATCGTACGTCAGTCAATCGTATAATGGTCAACACCTGTATTTCAGAGGCCATTCATGAATAAAGACTTGAAGTCTTGATTTATGAATGGCCTCTGGTGTAATTACAAATAAGTTTTATGAGTTCTTTTCTCAGAATACCGTGTGAAGCCTGGAGAGTATTGCAAAGATGACGGTCAATGCATTCCTGGTCTAGTGTGTAAAAGTTTTAAGTGTTCCTGCCCGGGGTAAGTTGTATTCATAAATGCTTTAAAACCTTGTAATAATGCTCATGTTAATATCAAAGTGTGAGTCTCTTTATGTTTTATTTTGTTTACACCAAAGGAGGAGTATGTTATTCTTGTGTTTCATCTTTCTTTCTTCCTTGCAAATTGTCATTCCTTCAAATCTGGATCTGTTTTAAAAATGTCGGGCTTGTACTTTGGTCTGGTTCACCCCTCCACTAAACAACGTGTGTACTAAATCTCTTGACCACATTCTCAACCCATGCGCATCATTTTTTATAGTATTATATTATATTTTCTTTATTTCTAAGCCTCATTAGAGTATTAAAATGATTTTTCTACAATTTTTATAGTTTCATGGCAACATGCATTACCATCTCTTGCAGGCCACAGCTCACTAGCATGTCAGCCAGCTGACTCCCGGTACGTGTCTCAGAAAAATGTATTTCTTTAACAATTATTCTACTCTATATACATGATGTGGCTTAGAAATAAGGAAAATATAATACAGTATAAACCTATATAATAAGAAAAATTAAGAGCATATGTAGGAAGTAAATGTGTTATGAGGCGGTGGGTCAAACTGGGCTTTATTATGTAAGACGTGACGTCACGGCATACACACCCAATACGGTGGCCGCCACGCGTATGTGAATCCACTGAGCTGGGTAATTACCTGAAGTGGTGTAAGTGATAACCGTGCCTGCAAGACCTGTGTAAAATGAGTCTCTACTGAATCTGCTAGTTTAGAGTGTAAGTAATTTATATAAATTAAAAATAAAAATCCTCATTTTACAAAAATATCAAATGTTGCAAAACTTTCCTTGGCAGGAGCATACTAGAATACACAGAGTAAAACAATTAGTGAAAAATACTAAAAACATATCTCGTAAAAATTTTGAAACATTCTGGAGTGCTTGATATATCCTATATATAGTATGCTTTGTAGTCAGTGAAAGAACTTCGCAGTCGATAAATCAGGGAAAGCACTTGACAGTCATAGCGAAAGCACTTTACAATCACTAAAACAGAGTACAATGTGAATTTTAGTGATGTCCTCTCACTATAAGGTAAAAAAAAAAGATGACAGATGAACATTGAGCTCTATTTCTTACACACAAGTAACCAAGAAGAAACGGTGACTGGACCTAACCTAACCAGATGGCCACAAGGTGGCGTTCGGGCAAGTGACGCCTCATCTGACAAATGAAGTGAGTGATGCGTTCCATATGCCAACTTAGCGATTTGGTAGGATGACGAATATCATTAATGTTAGTTTGTTTACATTACAAATAGGGGAGTGATCTTAATATATTCACTCATATGAAAGTTTTCAACAATTCAGCATACAAAAGAGTCACTTTAACATACTGTATGGTATTTGATATCGAATTAACCTCCTGACAATGTTATTTATTACCTTTGAGTGATAGATGATTGTTATTGTGCAATGAATTTAGTGAGGCTAAAACTTCAGAAATTAAAAGAAAAATCTGTAGACAAAATCAAATGGGATTTGGGTAAATTCAAAATGGGTAGATGGAATATGAAGTTGAAACTGAAATTAGATTTTAAGTTTCACTAGAGGGTGAATTTGATGAACAGGAACCAGGATAACAATTTAATAATTAAAAAAAATAGTAATTTTAGAGACTTGGGAAAACTTATAGGACATAGGAGGAACACTGCAAGAAGGAAGTTATAAGTGATAATGAAAGACTAAAAGTTCATGATAAAGTAATATTAAATATACACTGTGCAAATGATACTGCTCTTATTACAGATAGTGAAGAGACATTGCGAAAACTTGTTAACAGATTATTGAAAAAAGATTAAATATATATTTTAAGAGTAAATGCTGGAAAGACAAAAGTAATGGTTGTTTCCTAATTGGAAATAAACCCCCAAATAAAAATTATGGTTGGCAACAGGAACTTAAACAAGTGGAATATTCTGTGTATTTAGGAAGTAACATTACCTGTGACTGTAGATATATGGAAGAAATCAAAACAAAAATAGGGCAAGCAAAAACAGCATTTAATAATCTAAAAGACCTAATGAAAAGAGACATTAACTTTAATTTGAGAAAACAGCTGCTGAAAGGCTTTATATGGCAAGAACTATTGTATGGATCAGAAGCGTGGACACTTTCAGCAGACGCCAGAAAGAGGTTGGCGGCCATTGAAAGGTGGTGTTATAGGCGAATGCTAAGAATAAGTTACACTGACAGGAAAACAAGTGAAGAAGTACTAACGTTAGCAAAAACTACAAGAGAAATATTGAGAGTACTGAAAAAAAAAAGGAGGTACTTTGGTCATATAATTGGGGATGAGGGGATAATAACAAATATTAATGAGCGAAGTTGAGGGTAGGAGGGCCAGGGGAAGGCAGAGACTGGGATGGATGAATTAAATTAAAGTCTGGATCCTCGGTGATACAAAACCTTGGAGGATTGGTAAAAACAGCCTGAGAACATTAAGAGTGGAGGGCTGTGGTTGCCAACCCTTAGATATGCGAACGGTACTCTGATTAATGGAGTAATTTGCTCACTATGCTGGTTAAGGTCACTGGTCAATAATTATTCGTGGAGTGGTGATCACCCTTCTTGAATATAGGACTCATTGGTCATTCACTGGGGACCTTTTGCTCATCCAGGCATTGCACTATGAGCATTTATTTTCCTTTATTTTCACTTCTGGGGATTATTCATCTTATAAACCTTAGAGAAGCTGGACCCTGGGCTGATGCATGCTGTGTGTGTCTGAGTGAGTATAAACTGGTTAACAAAGCATCACTCATCGGTCTGGTACCAAATATCCGACATATCCTTGTTTTTTCATGAATTTAAAGTCAGTAAAATCACAGCATCAGACCAGATTACTGTACAGTGATACAGTGTAACAAGAACTTATTACAGTGTAGCTGTATAGCATTAGTAGACATCTTCTGTATTTGGAGTTTGCGTTATGCAAGGAATAATGGAGCTCATCTTATATTTCCAGGAGTTGTAGTTACAACAGCAAAAGAGAATCATGTGATTGTGGAGAAGTTGATACACCAAATGGACCTATAATAGTTGGTGTTATTTTTGGTTTCATCATCATTGTTTTCTGGATCTGGAGGATCAAGAAAACTGCTGAAACGTAATGTATATTTTGCATTCATATTGTACTGTCTCTGTATCTATTATGTTTTTCTACTGTAAATGGTAATGCAGGTATACAAAACCATAATAGGGAATCATTGTAAATGAAGTACAACTTTCCAAGCCAATTTTGTTATATATAGGGTAGTTTATTTTAGTTTTAGAGAGTAGCAGTAAAGGATTATCAGAAATGTGAGAGCAGTCAATTTCCAAAGTAAGTAAGTAAGTCATTCGTTCATTATAATTTCCATAGATATGGAGGTGAATGAGTTAAAAGACCATAGGCCTTTAATTTGATGACAAAGAAAGATCCTTCTTCAAGTGATTGGTTATACAGTATTATTTATTGGCTAATAATTCAGGATTTGGAGAAGGTAATAGTAGACAGGGATGATCTTAATCATTTAAAGGAATAAAAATAATTCTGAGATATGTGTTTGTAGAACTAATTAAACTTTTGAGTGCATCATAAATTTCAAAAGTACTGTACAGTATTCTCCAAAAGTACAATTTACCCATGAA